TTTTTGCCTTGCTGTGAAGAAATCCATACATGTCTGGGGAGAAAAGCAAAGACGCAACTTAGAACCATGGAGTCAGTTTTTTTTGGTCATGGTAACTTTGCTACATCCCTCAACACTCCCCCACTCTATCCCCAATTACTGACCCATGGCTCATAATTGGCCATGATGTATTGGATAATTGGCACATACTGGGGATAATTGGATGGTTTCAATTATTTTTGCCTACGGATCGAAAACCGTGCTCATATAACGCACATTTTTGCTAATGGGACGTGGGGGTTATGTTGGGGTGGGGTGGGGGGGTGTTAACGTTCTGTCTAGTGCGTACAGTACATATTTCTACGCTCCCGAGATCTCTGGAATGCTTGCCACGTTACATGTTGCTACGGTGCTGAGAGCTCTGGAATGCTTCCAGAGATCTCCTGTGGTATCCTTGCTACGTTACATGTTGCTACGCTGCCGAGAGCTCTGGAATGCTTGCCACGTTATATGTTGCTACGCTGCCGAGAGCTCTGAAATGCTTGCCACAATCTGGAATACTTGCCACAATTCTGGAATGCTTGCCACGTTGCATGTTGCTACGCTGCAGAGATCTCCTGTGATATCCTTGCTACGTTACATGTTGCTACGCTGCCGAGATCCCTGGAATGCTTGCCACGTTACATGTTGCTACGCTGCAGAGATCTCCTGTGGTATCCTTGCTACGTTACATGTTGCTACGCTGCCGAGAGCTCTGGAATGCTTGCCACGTTACATGTTGCTACGCTGCAGAGATCTCCTGTAGTATCCTTGCTACGTTACATGTTGCTACGCTGCAGAGATCTCCTGTGGTATCCTTGCTACGTTACATGTTGCTACGCTGCCGAGAGCTCTGGAATGCTTGCCACGTTACATGTTGCTACGCTGCAGAGATCTCCTGTGGTATCCTTGCTACGTTACATGTTGCTACGCTGCAGAGATCTCCTGTGGTATCCTTGCTACGTTACATGTTGCTACGCTGCCGAGAGCTTTGGAATGCTTGCCACGTTACATGTTGCTACGCTGCAGGGAATCCTGTGGTATCCTTGCTACGTTACATGTTGCTACGCTGCAGAGATCTCCTGTGGTATCCTTGCTACGTTACATGTTCCTACGCTGCAGAGATCTCCTGTGGTATCCTTGCTACGTTACATGTTGCTACGCTGCCGAGATCTCTGGAGTTGCCTGAAGCGCTGTGGCGCTAGAGAACGCAGAAAAGAGAGAGCCGATTCATCATTGGACATGTTGTCGTTGTCTTGCATGGAAATCACAATATTGAGCGTTCGATGTACAAGCACATGGATATAGATAGATAGATAGATAGACAGATAGATAGATAGACAGATAGATAGATAGATAGATATATAAATATATATAAATAAATAAATATAAATATATATATATACATGTGTAAATGTATATCTCCTGCATAAACTCCATTTTTTTTTCGGACCTTAAAAACAACCTTACTTTCCATGGAAAAAAACAGTACATTTTAAAAGAGGAATAAAAAGCCTTGGAAAACACAGTGAATTTGAAGCTCTGGTTCAGGTGGAACAGACAGTGCATCACTCCGAAACCACAGCGAGAAGCAAATTTCCAGGGAAAAAGGGAAAATCAGTCGTTGACCCTTCTGGGGGCGGCGAGACAGCCGGCATCCTTGTTTTTCACCAACTTTGCCAGCTCTTTCAGCATGACCAGTGGTGTACATGTTCGGAGATTACATCTCCACACATATTGGAAACAACGACGTCGCAGAGATGGATTCACCTCTGACCCCACCAAAGTCTTCACTTTTCTGTGAAGATTGAAGAGAACGTGCAGTAGCGAAGCATCACGTAAGTGTGCAAGTCCAATGAACGTTAACATCCCCCCCCCCACCCACCCACCCACCCCCCACCCCCAGTCAACGTGCATCACGTAGAGTGGAATAAATTACTTGAAGAGACGTGGCATCGTAGCATCACGATTGTGTAAATGCAAGAGAACTTGCAGTAGCGTATAGCATCACGTAAGTGTGCATCCCTGAACGTTAACATTCCCCCCACCCCCACCCACCGACCCACCCCCCCCCCAGTCACGTAAATCACGTAGTTGTGTAAATTAATTGACGTGAACGTGCAGTAGCTAGCATCACGTAGTTTGTAAATTGAAGAGAACGTGCAGTAGCGTAGCATCACGTAAGTGCGCAAGTCCAATGAACGTTAACAACGAACCCATTTACATAGAAAACACACGAAATTACCAGGCGCCTGTGCGCCCGCTGGCAACCACCAACCAGATTATTATTAACCATCATTAACAATTATTAACCATCATTAACCATATAATAACCATTGATAATAGCCATTCATAAGTAAGTGGGTACATACATCATGGCTCACCACTTACGATCATAGAAAGACGCCACCGAGCCGTGAGTCCCGCAGCTAAGCAAAACCAGCGAACTAACTATGGCCCATCCACTCTATCCCCCTTAATCACGCACAAAAATCTCATGAATATCCCATGAAAATGCCCATTAATGTCTAATTCTTTCCATCATAACCTCATACGTATCCATCAATATACCATTTATATCTGGTGTAAGCATATTAAACTCACAATGATATCCATTACATCTCCATTAATATATCCATTGATATCCATTGTAACCCGGTTAAAATCCAATTACATAATATACATTACAACCCCATCAACATCCGACTGACAACCACTACAACCCCAGCAACACCCCATTGTAGCCCCATGCATATCCCAGTGTACAGCCACATTGACATTCCAGAGATATCCATTGTAACCCCAATATTTACAACAATTAATATTAATTATATAAATCAACATTGATATATCATATATCGTTGATATCCATGCAAATCTCATTAAATAATATCCCAGTGACATCAAGTGTAACCCCATTAATACCACCATTGATATTCATTAAACTACCATTCATATACATTATTTCATTATTCCCAGTAATTCGTATTCCCTTCCACCAATATTAAACACCCACCCAGAAACCATGGTTTAGGAGGGAATTTACACACGTTTGGGACGATTTAGGGGAGATTTTAATATTGCGGGGATGGGATTAATGTCCCATTGTTATACACCATTAATATCCCATGGGTAGCCATTACAATTAACCCCATTCATATCCCACTGATATCAATTATCATCCCATTAGTATATCCATTAATTCATTCATATCCATTGATATCTATAACTACAAACCCTCTGTGTACGTACTAACTATATACCCACTATATATCCATTTGCATTGGAATTTCAGGAACCTAGAATAGAAGTACTGTAGCAAAAAAACCATATCTTGGTGACATATCCCCCTTACACAGGCCTTATATAAGCTTTATATATATATAATATGCATATATAGTAGGTACCAATTTAGGTACTTGAAATGGCCATTGGTATCAATTGATCCATTTTTACCGCCTTTTTCACTAAAATTGCACTATATGCCCATTATATATCCATTGGTAGCCATTGATATTTTCTGGGAAAACACACACATATATATATATTTAATGGATATCAGTGGCCTAATAATTGAGGGATATTGTTATTCATTCATAGACCATTGATACTCATTAAACCATTGAAAGTATCAATATTGACATATCCAAATGGTACATTGGGGTATGCTATTGATATTCATTGAGCCAACATTTTTACCATTGATATATTCACCATACATCCGTTCAACACCATCTAAGTCCAGCAGGTCGCGGCGCCATTCTGGTGGCCCTCAGTGACCTCTTCCTGTCGCCCCTGGTGGGGCGTTTGTCGGACCGCTTCGGGCGGAGGCGCCGGCCTTGGAGGTTTCTGCCATGGCGGTACTCAGCTGGGTGGATGAATCTGGATGGATACTGTAATGGAACATCCCATCTAGAAATGGATAACTGGGAATAACTGGCACATGACTTAGGACACCTCCAATTAGCCTAGGGTAAACTAATAGCTCGATGTGGAAAATCAACCATTTGTAGATGATGTTCCTGGGGAAAGGTTTTCCACATCCACGTTGGTTTACCCCTGGGGTATCCCAAAATGGCCGAACTTTTCGGGTTAGCGAGTTGTTACAAAAATTGCCCAGATACACGGGATTTAACCGGATATTCATGGCATATCATCTGGTTTATTCCATGGATAATCCAAGAGATATTAACGACATATCAATAGGTTTTTCAATAGCCTTTTAACAGGATATCAATAGGGATATGATAGGATATAGTTTTGAGTTTGTTGGCTTGTCTGGAAACAGGTCCAAATTGATCAACTTGGCATTTTGGGTGGTATGCCGATGCGGCTTGGCCATTGGGGTTGCACCTTCAGGATACACTGATATTGATTTAGAATGATTTAAAAATATCTAAGATCTGGAGATATTGTTGGTCAAGATGATGCTTGATATGGTGCATGTTGATGTACGATCATGTACGACCTGAATTATAGTTTTCCATCGCGGCTGGCCGGTGAAACTCAATTTTTGTGGAGCAGATTCCGCATTGATTTAGGATTGATTTATCGTTTGTGCAGATTGGAAACTCTTGCATATGATTTTGGATGAACAGGATACAGTACTCCGAATGACGAACAAAGATTTGATCCACCTCTGAACAGGTTATATTTTGATATTTGACGAAGATCTTTGGTGTGTAAGGGTTGTGATTTGAGCAAGAACACTAGCTTGGTCCGGTTTGTGATAATGTTTAGGGTCATCCCTAGCTAGGATCATGGATGTTAATTGACCAATTTGTTTCTTTGGTAAAGGACACTGATGCCCTGACAACAGAATGACTGGACAATTCACTGGATCTTAACCATATCATTTCCTTTTTATCCACATCACACCTACATTCATTGATGTTTGTACTAGTCTTGATTCAAACTGGACATATCTCCACATTGCTAATTGTTTGGGAACAAATTGACTGTTTAAACAGCAACCTTTGAAGCGCTTACATATGAGAATTAGTTGAAACTGCTCCCCATTTTTCCAAGGACAAAATGCCAATGTTTGGTGTGACAATTTCCTGATGTTGCTCTAAACGTTGCCATTTCTGGTTGGTGGCTTCAGTCATCCTACTAACTTGCGCCAATGCCCCCATGAATTTCCCAACTTTTTGGAGGGGTGGCTAAATGGCTCAACCGCCAACCAGCTACGCCTACTATACAAAACTATAATAGTAACTATATGTAATTATATAATATATATGTATGATATATATGGGCCATTATGGGCCATGAATGTACCCTTTCTTATTGGTTAACCAATTAATTTTGTTGGTTATCTCCCAGGAGGTCTCGGAGTAGTGCTGGTTCATCCGCAGTGGGATGTCAGCTCCATCGACTTTCATCATGTTTCCCATTAGACTTGCTATAATTTGGGATACTGTTTTTTTACATCATCATACATACACTGAATATCAATAGTATTATGTAGCCCATATGTAGTCAAACCCATTTCCGTTATTCATCTGGACAGACCTGGGGCTCCACTGCTCCAGGCCAGTGATGCTAGTGCTGCCAGCCGTGCCATGGTATTGCTTTAACTACGGTGGTACTGGGGCTGTGTACATGAAATATCTATCTTATCTATCTTATCTTATCTCATCTTATCTATTCTTATCTTATCTTATCTAGTCTAATCTAATCTTATCTTATCTTATCTAATCTATCTATCTATTTATGGATATATATATATGGGTTTGGAAAATGGGGTATGTCTCCACCGTGGCTACCGTAATATGAAAATCATTGTTAAACGTTTTATCATATTATGCTCACATGACATGTGTAGTCAAATGTATTCTAAAAATTACGTTTGCCCATGTCACCTGCCAAGAGCACATGTTTTTGACATAGAAATATAGAGAACATGTCATCTGCTTCAAGTACCAAAAAGTCCCATACATAGTTTTTTCCAATAGGTGGTTCGTTCACTCAGTTGTGCACGGATTCTTTCATGTCCAGTCATTGGCCTCTCAACCACCATTTGCTCAGTCGTTGACCCACCTCACAACTTCAACCGCTCATGGCTTCTCCATCACAAAAAGTTCCTATAGGCCATTGATTTCTTATTGTCACTTCCTATTTTCGAAACTTCCGCCCTGGAACCTGCCGGACACTATCTGGTATGACCATGCGTGTCTACAACTATTGTGTGTGTGTAACATCTGAATAGATGTAAAACTTCTCTCTTTTTCTTCCTTCTGTCCTCTCCCTTTTTAAACCTAGTGCAGGGGGCAGTGACAGAGTCTGTGGGATCACTGCCAACGAAGACGCCCACATTCTCTGGTGATGCATCGGGAGACGTCCTGGTGTGTACCTGCAGAACTCAGTTTGAACTGTTGAACAAGCTGTCATGTTGCTGCACTGTTGTCGCAATCTGGAATCATTTTTGGTCATTTACGATTAGTTCAGTTGCATCTGAACCTTCCTCAGTATTTTCGCCGAGATCATGTCGCCGATAGTATTTTCGATTATTTGGATTATTTCGCCGACCATGTCGCCGATGTATTTGGATTATTTCGTCAAAACCTCGTCGCCGATGTATTTTTGATGAAGATCGTGGACGTGGAAACTATTCAGGATCAGATTTGCATGTTTCAGGATTCAGTTCCTGCCGGATCATATAATGATCCATTCTTGTCTAGTGTGATTTCCATGGTGGCTCCGACATGGTGCCATGGAGCCATTTGAGGCAACCCTCTTTAGGGTGAGTGATGACTGTCCTGACCGCCGAATTAACACATTTTAAGTTGGTAATTCAAAGTGCAACAGCTGGCCTTTCCGTTTTGCACCGCTTTCTGAGTGTCCCGCTGATCCTGCGGTCCCCTGTGAAACCTCGTGGAATACACCTCTGTGACTGTGAAGCCGTGCTGAACATTCAGAAACCTCCTTTTTTGCAGCAATGTCACAGCGACACAGCATCATGCCATGACAAAGGAACCAGGCAGGCACACGACTTCCAGGTGTGGTCCTCTTTCTTTTGATGGTTGTCTGGTGAGGTGAAACATATCGTGCACCTAATTCGCTGGAACTTGAAAGCCGTTATATGCCCTTGTGGCTGACTTGAACACGGGCCTGGATTGGCACAACGCACGAACTTTAGGTCTAGGAGCTGAATCCTGTTTGTTTTACTAATTGTTTTGGTTTTCCTGTCTGTCATCAACTAGTCCCCCATTTGGTCCCTAATTCCCCCGCGTGCTTCTCCGTAATGTGTCGTGGGGTTTAGGTGCGTGCGCTGTTTTGGTCAGGTCCGTTTCGCCGTGTAGGTTGGTTCCGGAGGTCCGTCTGTTCCCCTCCCCCCCCTGCGCTGTTTTTGGCCTTTTGCCCTTCGTGTGTCCGCTTTTTTCTTCCTCTTGCCTTTCAGGGTTGACCCGGCTCTGGCCGGGTGTGTGTGTGTGTGTAACATCTGAATAGATGTAAAACTTCTCTCTTTTTCTTCCTTCTGTCCTCTCCCTTTTTAAACCTAGTGCAGGGGGCAGTGACAGAGTCTGTGGGATCACTGCCAACGAAGACGCCCGCATTCTCTGGTGATGCATCGGGAGACGTCCTGGTGTGTACCTGCAGAACTCAGTTTGAACTGTTGAACAAGCTGTCATGTTGCTGCACTGTTGTCGCAATCTGGAATCATTTTTGGTCATTTACGATTAGTTCAGTTGCATCTGAACCTTCCTCAGTATTTTCGCCGAGATCATGTCGCCGATAGTATTTTCGATTATTTGGATTATTTCGCCGACCATGTCGCCGATGTATTTGGATTATTTCGTCAAAACCTCGTCGCCGATGTATTTTTGATGAAGATCGTGGACGTGGAAACTATTCAGGATCAGATTTGCATGTTTCAGGATTCAGTTCCTGCCGGATCATATAATGATCCATTCTTGTCTAGTGTGTGTGTGAGAATAGATGTCTGTGAAAACACAAATGCACATGTATACAGTACATAATTATACATAGGTATACACATACTTGGGAAGTGGAACCTTTGTGTGCATTCTTTTGTCCATTTTGGGGTTTCTCCGCGTTGTTTATTTCGGGTTCAATTGCTTATTTGGGTCTTGACTTCAATCAGCAGTGGCAAACGGCAAACAGCTTTGCTTGTCCCGGGGTCCAACATACCGCTCCCAGCTCAGGTCCAAAACTGAGCGGGTTGGGGGTCATGCTGGGCTATCCAACGGCTATCCCAAGTTTGGCCCCCAAATTTGGGGGTGCCCATCAGTTATTTTTTCTTTTACAGAACATAATGTTTTAAACAACGCCTGATGAACCAAAAACCAAAGTGTGTATGAACAGACAAATTTGTTCATATGGTTTTCCGTTTATGTTATTTACATACAACCCAATATTTGACAATATTGAAATGTTGCTTGAATTTCCATGCTTGCCAGAGCTCCTGACCTTGTGCCCCACAATTTGGTGTGATTGGGAACCCAGGTTTCGTTGCCATTGAAACTCCTGGCAGCGTGCTTCCCAACACCACAGCTGCTGCAACTCGACCGTGTCTGCACCTTGGAATCGCCGGTTTCAATGGGTTTTTCCCATTTTTTTTTGGAGGATATTGTTTGAACATCATTTTCTGAATGGTGTTTTGCAGCCAGCTATTTGACCAATTTTGTTTGGACATTATTGAAACAACAAGTAAATAGTTGGTGCATAACCGTTTTTTGTCCTATTTTGCCGACCAAAGATGGGAAACCACTTTTTTTTTACCTTGATGTCCTATATTTTCCATTTATGTGGGTCCCTGTGGGTCAAAACATCAGTTTGTGGTGTTCAAATCAGCGACCTCGTTGGCCAACCAAACCTTAAACGAAGGTTGCTTCTATCCCCGACATGTAACTCCAACTCTGCAATTTTGTTAACTATGTTCGTCAAATGCTATGTTTGTTGGTCGACATCCACTTTTTCCGGAGGGTCATTTATTTCGTTTTTTTTTCCCGTTTTTTTTTTAAATTTCTGGTTCCCAGTTTTGCTTTGCTTCTCGGCTTCTCTGCTTTTCTGCTTCTCTGCTTCTTCGCTTCTCTGCTGTTGTTTTTCTGCTTTCTGCTTCTTTGCTTTTCTGCTTCTCTGCTTTTCCGCTTTTGCTTCTCTGTTTTTGCTTTTCTGCTTTTCCCTGCTTCTTTGCCTTTCTGCTTTACTGCGTTTTCCTGCTTTTCTGGTTCTTTGTTTCTTTGCTTCTTTGCTTCCCTGCTTCTTTGATTTTCTGCTTTTCCCTGCTTTACTGCGCTTTCCTGCTTATTTCTGGTTCTTTGCTTCTTTGCTTTTCCGTTTTTCCATCCTTTCCTGCGTTTTCCTGCTTTTCTGCTTCTTTGCTTCTTTGTTTCCCTGCTTCTTTGTTTTTTGCTTTTCTGTTTTTCCCTACTTTTCTGCCTTTCCAGCTTCTGTGCTTATCTGTTTTTCTGCTTTTCTGCTTCTCATAAACCAATGGTTATTTTTCTCACCAACTCTAGATAGATCCTAAATCAAACCTAACTGAACCCTAAAACCAACCCTAAATACATCCTAAACCCGCACCAAATAGATGCTATCCCAAACCTGAATAAATTTTCAACCAACCCTAAACGGTTCTTAAACCAAGCCTAAATAAATCCTAAGCCAACCTTCAACAAACCTTAAACCAACCCTTAATAGGTCCTAAACCAACCCCAAATAAATCCTAAACCAAATCTAAATTAACCCTAACGCCAACCCTAAATAGATCCTAAACCAACCTTACATAGATCTTAAAACAAGTCTAAATAAACATCAAAACCAAACCTAAAAAGATCCTAAACCAACCCTAAATATATCTTAAACCAAAGCTAAATAAACATCAAAACCAAACCCCAAATGAACCCCAAACCAATCTTCAATGGATCTTAAACCAACCCTAAATAGATCCAAAAAAAAGGCTACATAACTCCTAAAACCAACCCCAATCCTAAACCAACCCAAATATATAGATCTTAAACAAAACCCAAATCAATTCTTAAAAAACAACCCTAGATAGATCTTAAACCAAACCTAAATAAACCATAAACCAACCCTAAATAGATCTTAAACCAACCCGAAATAGATTTTAAGCCGAACCTAACAAACCCCAAAACCAACCCTAAAAACATGCTAAACTAAACCTGGAAAAACATTTAGATAAACTCTACTTCTAAAACCAACCCTTAAAAACCCTAAAACCAAACCTAGCAAAAACCCTAATCTAAGCTTAAAACATCTTAAAACCAACCCTACATGAACCTAGTTGCAAACTACCATGTTACATGAACATTTCGAGCACCAAAATGTTGCAAATTCCATCGAAAATAGAGGTTCGAACTCAAGAATGTTGCAAATACCATTGACATGGCAGCATCCAGCTCCAAAATGTTGCAAACTGCACCAAAGTGTTGCAAATTCCACGGAAAATGAGAGGTTCGAACTCAAAAATGCTGCAAATACCGTTGAAATGGCGGCTTCCAGGTTCAAAATGCTGCAAATAGAAGGAAAATGGACCGAACAGGAAACCCCCCCCAAAAAACCAAACAATTCCAGACCCGTTACTCTTGAATTCTCCTTTTTTAACATTGAAGTCTTCCGTTTTGCGAGTGAGATCCCGATTTTACTGGTTGGATCCCCAACTTCGCTACTTTAAATCCTCAATCTTCGTTTCAACTCCACATTTCCGGATATTTCTGGTGCACTCCCCTTTTTAGTGAGGAAAACCATAAAACACCCTTGTCTTTCCCCATGTTGCTCTCTAAATCCCCCCTTTTCTGGTGCTTCAAATCTCCAGGTCGTGGGCGATTCGCTCCGGACCTTGTGTGGCACGTGGCTTGTCGGGACGCGACCATGGGATTCATGGGATTTAACCATAGTTGCTGGTGAAATTTATGGTAAATTTCATGGGCTTGAACTAACATGGCGGATTTAACCATAGTTTTTTCATGTTTTTTCCAATTCATGGGGATCCGGGATATTGATGGTAATAGCGTTTGCTAAGCCCCTGCTGGCTGATGATTATTTTATTATTTATATGACGGATGATTATGATGATTATGTGGGGTTATACTACCCAATATCTTGGAAATTATTGTTATCCGTCCAGCCGGTGTTAAGCTGACCAGCAACAGTGAAGGTTTAATGGGGTTTAATGGGTATTTCAGCAACAACAATTGGGATATTCATGGGGATATTGTTTGAACCCATAGTAAGGTTGCAAAACATCTGTGTTAATGACTATAATAGGTATTATAAGTTTTGACCCCTATAAACATGTTATGTAAATTGTCATTGTCAAAACCTGTGATCTTCGTTAATTGTTTGGGGAAGAACAGCCATGAATCCCAGTTATTTTGATGTGAGCAGAAGGATCAGAAGAGCACACGGCTTTCGACTCATCCGATTTTGAATGGCCCACAAAAATTTGAAAAATCCAAACTCTTACAGTAGAGGTTGAAAACTCCATTCTTGAGCCATAGACATCCAACACTAGGAATATAATCCCTTAGAAAAGGCTTCATCATCATATTTTCTACATATTTCCCATATATTTCCATATGTCCCTTATATTTCCCTATGGTTTCACCCTAGTCTTTCCCGGAAAGGTTTATATCACCTATGGTGTTCTCTCACCAGGTCACCCCAGCTCAGGACCATGACCATGTCCTGCCTGGCAGACTTGTACCAAGGCCGTTCTGTTGTCCATGTCCCGAGGATATGTCCTCCCCCCGTTATTCAACATCTCAATGGTATGAACGGTGGAAAGAGATTATACAATATGAGTGTTTCTGCCGAGATCATAGATTCATGCCCTACAACTACCCACAACTCAACCCACGGAAGGTCTTGTTTTTCAAACACACAACAGCGGAAGAGAACGGACTTATATTGCCCCTTAGTCCCATCAGTTTCCCTGTGGGGACTGGACCCCAAGATCATCCAAAATCCAATGGTTTATCATCATGTTTTATCTTGTCTAATCACCCGCACCTAGCAGGGCAGCAATATGCGGTTGCTCTGGGATACCTTCAAAGTGCCACTGGTGGCTTGGTGACATCAGTGATCGGATGTCATGGTCGATGGGGATGTACTGGTTGATGGGATATAGATATGTAATTATATAGATAACATTTACAGATAACAATATAACCACTTGAGAGGGAGAACACGAAAGGTAGGTGATCAAGAAGGAGAAACAAAACCTCTCTGTGTAAAAGTTGGTTGCGTGTAAAAGTGTGCTGCGTGCACAAGTTTCTGTGTGCAATTTGTCTTCCGTGTAAAGGCATCTGTGTATAAAAGCGTCTGTATGTAAAAAAGTGTTGTGCGTAAAACCTTCTGTGCGTAAGACTTCTGTACGGAGAACTTTCTGTGTAAAAACCATCTGTCTGTAATAATTGCTGTGCATTTAAAAAAAACAGTCCGTAAAAGCTTCTGTGCGGAAGAGTCTCTGCTGTGTAAAAACTGTTCTGGGTAAAGTTTCTGCTTGCAAACAAAAATCGTGTGTATTTTTTTTGTGCAGTCTGTGTGTACAATTTTCTTTATGTCTATTTTTTTCGGTGCCAAAAAATCTGTGTGTAAAAATTGTTCTGTGCAAAGGCTTCTCTGTGGCAAAGGTTCTGTGTGTAAAAATGCCTACGTGCCTTTATTTATGTGCGTATTTATGTGCGCAAAAGCATCTTTGTACAAAGCACCGGTATGTAAAAAGTTCCTTCTTTGTGTAAAAACCTCTGTGTGTAAAGGTGTCTGTGTACAAAGTTTCTCTGTGCACAAACCTCTCGGTGTAAGAATACCTGCTCGTAAAGCTGCTCTGTGTAAAGGCTTCTGTGCGTAACGTCGTCTGGTTGTAGATAAGATATGTATTGGTGCAAAATGCGTATCCAAAAAGAATCCAAGTTCAAATGCTTGATGTTGTTTCTGTTGTTGCTGATGGCGATGATGCGCGCAGGGCCCCACAAGGCGTCATTTTGGCTGTCTTAAATCAATTTTTGAAAGCCTTCGGAACAAATTACTTTCTTCGAGGAAGTACCACCAAACGACACTTTTTTGACATATTTTCTGACATTCCATCTGGCGTTCGCATTTTATCTCATATATTTTATGAAATTCTTTGTGGCATTCTATCGGGTATATCTTCGGAGATCCTTTGTAGTTGAGGTCCGGCGGGCAACACACTGATCCGGTGTGCGCGGTTGAAGTCCGGCGGGAATCACTCCGATCCAGAGGTTGCTGTTCGGGTCCGGCAGGGAACACTGCGATCTAGAGCTTGCAGTTGTTGTTGTTGTTGTTGTTGTTGCTATTGTTGTTGTTGCTATTGTTGCTGTTGCTATTGTTGCTGTTGCTATTGTTGCTGTTGCTATTGTTGCTGTTGCTGTTGTTGCTGTTGTTGTTGTTGCTGTTGTTGCTGGTGTTGCTGTTGTTGCTGTTGTTGCTGTTGCTGTTGCTGCTGTTGCTGCTGTTGCTGCTGTTGCTGCTGCTGCTGTTGCTGCTGTTGCTGTTGTTGTTGCTGCTGTTGTTGTTGCTGCTGTTGTTGTTGTCGCTGTTGTTGTCGCTGTTGCTGCTGTTGTTGTTGTTGTGGTGGTGGTGGTGGTGGCGGTGGCGTTGGCGTTGGCGTTGGTGTTGGTGTTGTTGGCGCTGTTGGTGTTGTTGGTGTTGTTGGTGCTGTTGGTGTTGTTGGTGGTTTTGGTGGTTTTGGTGGTTTTGGTGCTGTTGGTGGTTTTGGTGCTGTTGGTGTTGGTGTTGGTGTTGTTGTTGTTGTTGTTGTTGTTGTTGTCGTTGTCGTTTTTGTTGCTGCTGCCCCGGCAGCTTTTTTCTCAGTCCCGTAGCGGCCGAAAATCGTCAAATAGGTTTTGTTTTCGTGTGCTTTTGCAACTCTCGGAGCAAAAAACACCGTAAATACTGATGTTTTTGGCGGGCTGGAAACCCAAAACCTTGGTATTTACGATGTTTTTTTGCCTCTGGTAGCAAAAAACACGGTATTTACAGTGTTTTTTGGTCAGCACCTGGCAAAAACACTGATATTTACGCTGGTTTCACCATGTTGCAAGATGTACTGTAGTTTCTATATCCGAAAAGGACAAGCATACTGTAAATTACAATGTTTTGGGTTTGCTCTTAGGGTGCGTGGGGGCGCGGAGGGGGTGTGTGGGGGGTGTACTGAAATGACTAGCAATCTCGTGAATAATCAGGTAACGGGGCTGGCGCCCTCCCCTTTACTTCGTAAAGCAAAACTCAAGGTAACCCCACTGGAGCTACCTTTCGTGCTTGTTTACGTTATATATCATTATATATTTATCCACTATAATCATGGATAATTTAGATAATCATTATGTATAATATATCTAGCCACGGTAAATCTATAATCATGATAACTGATATAACTATAATATGACCAACTTGATTTCTAGCTAATGGACATGTCTGAAAATGGAATATTCAAATGGCTATTCTTTATTTGGAAGATGATTGATTAACCAGAGAGTTTTGCGATACCCTGTTTTCAGACAATCTCATATAGGTACCATTTCATGTGGATTGACGCTGCCACGGCGATGCCTCGCATGTGCGAGGTGCTGCCATAATCCTCGCGCCGCAACTGGTGCCATGGATTTTTGATTCGTGGGGTGGTTGAGCAAATGGGTTCAGAGATTTGGGAAACAATGGCAAATTTACTGGGGAACATAAGGGGACATGATGCTTGTATCCCAAATCGTTTTTTTTTTTTCGAAGTCAGCCACGTCAGCTTCCCAAATCGTGTTATGTCTCCGCGAATTTCCCTTGATTAAATGCATCTTCAAACTTTGTCCAACTTCTTCAAGATCCCGAGACTTGTGTTTGTTTTTTCAATCTCTGCAACATCTTTCACGATTCATCAAGAATCCATCCGCAGATTGTCCCTTTTCGACATTCTCCAACATGTCCGGTAAAAATTCCTCAATCCTTCGGCAACCAGCATCTGAAGTTGGTGAACTATGACCGTATAGATGTATCAGCATTAAGTATACAGTATATAGTATATAGATATACCACCATTAATCATAGATATATAACCATGAACTAGACGGATATATCGCCATGATGGAAGATCGCAGATTCCACAGGCCTCCATGTTGATGGGCCGCGAGGGTCGCTTTCCCCGGCGCTGCTACATCTTTGCTGCACTGCTGGCTGTGCTGCATCTCGCGTTGGCCTGGCGTGGCTTGGAGGCGGGTCAGTAGGATTTTTCCTGGGAAAAGTGGGAATTTTTCGGAGTGGAAACATGATCTAGAAATATGGATGAATATTCTATAAATTACTGTATTTATAAATTGGTAGATCTGTATACATGATAGTATAATAACATGTCCTAGAATCATTTTTCTTATGCGTTTTTGGTTGGGAGAATTATTGAAGGATTTGAATGGGAGATCCATAGTAATAACCATCCCAATTCATCCCACTATTTGTTTATAAATTTAGTATGCCCCGAATACCTTAGGATTCATATATTCCAGAGCCCAGTTTTATGGTTGATAATTGGGGATGGTTTATTGTTGTCGTGGATTCCACAGTCAGAATTTGTTGAAATGAAGGTATAATGTGGCATACTTCAATTTTTTGAAGAGAAAATATCTATAAGAACACATTCTATCATATATCCTATCCTCTTTATATAGTCATAAACACCGCCTAGAAGCTGGTTTGCAGATTGTACCAAAGGTTTTTTTGTTTGTTTGACTGTTTTTATGTGCGACACTTTTGTCATGCGAACAAGGGGGATACAGCCTGCGCTCTGCCACATCTTATGGCAATTTAGAAGAGGACACAATTATGATAAACCATTGTTTTGGGGGGGTGCACATTTTGTGACAAACCCATGCACTGTATTACTTGCTTATAGTGAACTCACCCCGCCCGATCCAAAATCTTGCGTTTAGTTGGGGGAGATTTCCCGGGAAAGTCGCCCCAACATGTGTTTAGTTGCTGTGGAGCAGTTGCGTAAGATAGAAAACGATGCTTCAGAAGTAATTATTGCTTCATTTAGCTTGTGTTTACACTGGTGAACTTGTTGTTTTGTCATGCCTGGCTCATTCAAGTGACCGTCGAGCAAATCCGTCGAGCAAATTCATTTCATATGTGGCCCTGCCGGGGGGGTGCCATTCTAGAGTAGTTGCATCGATTCATCTAATTAGAATAGATGCTGGCCTGCTGCTAGGCTGCTGTAGGCTGATGCTGGGCTGCTGCTAAATGGCTGCAGGATATCACCATGAGCTGAGGGGTTTCCAAAGCTATTTTCTGGCCTCGTTCGGGCCTCGTTTTTGGCCTCGTTCGGAACCTGTGCTTTGAGACCCACCTGGGGGCTCAGTTCAAATGTACTTATAATAGACGGGTTGGTTGAGTCAGAACCAGGTGGGAATAATTGATTGCAGAAACATTGAGTTGAGATGTAAATCAGAACCCCGTAGATTTGTTACCAATGCATACATGAATCATGCGTTCGCATGCACATTTTGTGACAAACCCATGCGCTGTATTACAGTATCAAGCAACCAATAGATATCCATAAATGAACACACGACAAATGATGGTGGCTCTCGCAGAAGCCATCAAACCTTGCCTTACTTGATTGATTGCACAGTATATACTGTGTTCAGAATGGTGTAACTTTTCCATTCACATCACTTGGTAGGGACATGAGCTACCAAACTTGGGGGATATGTCACTCACATGCAGTTTTAGTCAACACAAGAAGGCACAACCAACTAAACTAAACACGCTGTTCTAACTTAACCGACATTGCCGATGCCGATGCCCATTTAATTTGGGTTAAGTCGGACTATGGGTCACAAGGGCTTCATGGTTCTGGAGGATCATTTGAGTCATGTTGGTGATATGATCCTGGCGTGGGTACTGTAATGAGGGCAAAATTCGAGCGGAAAAACATCACCTCCCAGTGAACAAAGCACACAGTTTCTTGAAAGACAAACTTTCACACCCATAAGCGACAGCATTGGTCTTGAATCTTCTCAAAAGACTACAGAATCAATGTGCAGCCAATAAACGCTAGGTGTTGGTGTTGGCGAAAAAAATATGAGGCCAACCCTCGGTCGCAGGAGACAAACCCCAAACTGGCGAAAGAAGATGCTTCAGGCTGCGAGATCCGGTGCCAGTTTTATTGGTGTAAGCCACAATCATTGATGGTTAGATTTCAATTCGTTTGGGGTTAAATCACCACTTTGATCGTTTGAAACACGTTTGCATGTTTGCATGTCTACTGGTTGAGCAGTTTAATTGAAACACCTTTCCAAAGTGGGGTTGTGTCAACTTGCAACTCCAAAATTCCATGCTGACACGCTAGACTCACATGTTTGATCGCAATACTTTCTGCAAAGGCTGATTTTGACCAAAGAAAGGACTGTTTTTTACTGAAATCGTGCCCATTCTTGTCAATTGAAAACCATCCAAGTGTTATACACATGCGTAACCCGTCAACACTAGTATCTCAAATCTCAAAAAGTTGGTAGTTCTTCATCTCCTGACCCACTATGGTTTGTTTTTGGGCACTGTATGTATTATTATACTGTGTATATCATCATCATCATAATAATAATAATAATCATCATCTTCATCATCTTCATCATCATCATTATCTTCAGCATCATTATTCTAAAAAATTGTAAGGTCGCTGGGGCAGTGTTGGGTGACCCATCCCCATGCGTTTTCCGGCGAGGTCCGAATCGAGACCCTTCAGGCGTTGCTTGCATGGGGTTTCCATAAATGGGGGTACCCCAAAATGGATGGTTTATATATAATATAATATAATATAATATATAAAATACATATACATGTATATGATATATAGCCAACTAGCATGGAATAGAAACCATAAGATATATATATAATCGTATATATATATATGTATGTATGTTTTTTTTTTTCAGATGAGGGATTTCCCATGTCATGGGTTTCAATGCTAAAGTGGTCTAATGTCTTGGATGATTTGGGGTACCCCATGTCAAGAAACCTCCGTATATAGCCAAATAACCTATGGAACAGAACCACTATTAGATATGTTGACCCCCAAATTTTGCATAGGTTATATACTACTGTATATATATATATACACATAGTAACCCCAAATTGAATGAACCTCTGCTTGAAACAAAACTACTCCAAGATGTGCAGCTGCCGGGTTTCATGCTATTTTCCAGTGGTTGTTTGTTTAAATGGGCTATCAACTTCCATTGCGCGATTAATCATTAGTATTCTTTGGGTGGTACCAAACCAACCCCTGTATTTTTTCCAGAAGACATCAGTGGTGTTTTTTTTCCCCAGTAGGTCCATGTCGATCGTGAAAAAAAGAGGGGTTGTCCCACTTGAGATACTCTTGGCAACCTAGGCAGGGTGTGAACACACCCAAAAAAAGGCCGGTTGCGGTCGGTAATTTCGCCGTTGTTGGCATGTTGAGTAATCGCTGATGCTGATTGAGTATGATCAAGAAACAATATTCGAGCCCGGACTGGTCGCTCTAACACGAGAAGGACCCTTCAATACCATTCTTGTTTGTTTTCTTTGCATTTGTGTTTGCGTGTTGTGTAATCTGCAAGTCTGGTATGATCTGGTATGCTTTAGTGGGGATCTATTTTTACAAACCATAGAGTTCCTATCAACCAATGAAGGTGTGTTATGAATCTCCAGGTCAGTCAACTCCCTCGGTGGTGGCCGAACTCAGTGGAGTCTGGGGGCAGGACGCCGAAAACATGGGGAGATGATGTTTTCCTACCAACAAAAATGTTGGCTAACCAACATTTCATGAGGATACATATTGGGATTCAACATGATTCAGCCATATAGCTGGTATGGTTCAAAACTCGGGCAACAACAAACACACAGAATTGGCCGCTAGTTGTAAGGTATCATTGGATTTGATTCAATGTGACGGGGTTTGACATCACAGTGACATGAACGATGATCAGGGTATGAATGCGTGATTTAACTATGTGCAAGGTGATCCCTGATCGCTGAAGTGGTTCTGTGGTTACAACAGCAGTTAAACATGTGTTTTCCTTTCTAAAAACCCGCTCAATTCACTTTTTCCGAGCTTTGAACTTGAGGGATCAGGCAAATTCGTATTTCCTGGATTTGCAAAAACGCTACACTATGAACCAACATGCACAATATCAATCGACGGAAACTGGGCGTTGGCATAATACGCATTTTAGACATCTCAGAGTGGAGAATCCCCAGCCGGCCACCAATATATTGGGAGGATCAGGCCTCAAGAAGGGTCTATGGTGAGAAGTTGGTCTAGGATGATGGAGGTTAGAACTACCTTGCGGCCTGAAGCAGTGGGGGCCCATTTTGTCCGTCTTCCACCAAAATGGGCCAAATGAATTGCCAACCTTGAAGATCTTGCACCAAACATAGGCTGCTCAGCTTAAAACCCTGAAAAATGCTCAGGATGATGTTGGGATAGGGCCCCCAGTTCCCATCTTCACCCGACCTCTGGGAAATCCTGGCGCCAGGACTACAAAGATTGGTTCGCCCCAGCCGCTGAGCAACTGTGGTTCTCTAAGGGTCATAGGTAAATCATCATTGATGTTCCATGGTAACGGGATCTACTGGGAGATAGTCGGGATAGAATTATAATCGGATGGAATTGGGATGTAGAACCAACAATATAGGCAAGCGATGCATCACTGGGATGCTCTTCCACCTTGTTCCATGGTTCATCATGGTTCCATGGGCCAAAGCCGAGACACGAAGTGTGGTGAAACACCAGACTTGGTTGTGGCCTTTCTGGTGAAACACACCTCTTACTTTTGCGTGATATCAGGGAAAACCATATACCCTCTGGTAATTTAACATAGCTATTGAAAATGACCATAGAAATAGTGGGTTTTCCCATGAAAAATGGTGGATCTTTCCAGTTCGCTATGTTAATTTACCAGAGGGTTACATCACCACTGTCCAACTGGGATTGCAATCAGGGGCCATATATTCCACCCCCTCAAACTGCCACCTAATCATATCAGGGGTTGGATTCTCAACTAGTCAAAAAGGCTAAATGGATATACATGGATATGATTTAACCATCAATGTTTGTTTCACCTTCAAACACTTTGTGGCTTTTCGTGGATACACTTTGTTCAAAAAGCTGATCATGACAAACGGTCATCAATTATGTACAGTATCAGTATCCATCAAACATAGAATCACGACCATGTTCTTGCTTGGTCATGTGATATTGCATACACGCATATGTCTGAATATTATTATGTATATGATATATATATTATATATACATGAACAACATGCTCAAATCTCCCAACATTTGTTGATATACGTAACATGTATGTATATATATATACATGCGGTGTTGACACACCTGCCCATATGATATAATATGTACAAATAATCCTCATGATATATATATATATATATCATATTATATTTTTTGATATGACCCATATTTGTTGATTTTGTCAGATATACCTTATCCCCCCAATTCCAATGCCGCTGCGGCAAGGTGATCCACGTCTCTCAGCTCTTCTCCCGCGGCAGTGCGCTGCGGCAGCGCGCCGCGCTGTTTGTGTTGCACTGCTGCGTGGAGGGCAAGGCTGGGTTGCTGTGGCGCAGTTACCCCCTGGTACCATCTGGTTATGACTAACATAGCCATGGTATAGATGGCCCATTTATAGATGGTTTACCTATTATAAATGGTTATTTTCCATGTCTATGTTAAATAACCAGATGTTAATTCAACAGTTAGCTATGGAAAATCGCCATGCTTAACAGGTAAATCATCATTTTTATCCACGAACTAAATGGGCCATGGCTTCCATAGCTATGTTAAATAACCAGAGGGTATGTTATGTTCCTGCAGGATGTGTGTTTTTCATATTGTAAGTAAGCTTCTTACGACTGGTTGGAAGCCACATATCAACTTAGATGCACATCCAAGTAGGTGGCGACATGGCAGCGTTGTTTTGGGGCAAGTGAGTCAAAGCAAGATGGATGTAATGGGTAGATATCATATTTTATGTTTCCAAGTTATCTGTATATAGTACTGTAACAGCCAGCGTATGGATCCATGTGTCACCAACCATGCTGTGGGTGATGGAAAATGCACGAGGATAGCTTCCATCATCCCGTGAAGGATCGTAGCAATAACATCCTCGTCAGTGGTCCCGAGCGATGGAACCCCACTTTTGAGCTCGTTCTGCTTGTAGCATCTTGTAGCATTGTAGCTCCAGCTTTTCTGCACTTAGATAGTCTCCTGAAGTGCCATCACCCTGAAAAAGGCTTGACCATGGCAGAAATTCCAAGCATCCAAGAACAGGTCCAAAAGGCTGTGTTTCATCTTGGGGCATCTAAGACTTGTTTGATCCGATTATTTTACCATATATACGTATTTGTCCACAATTCTGAGGTCCCAACTCATGATCCCTATGGCATTATGGCTTCAATATGTTCGCAGCTTGTGAATACAGTCAAATCCAGGTTCCATGCCAATTTTCATAAGTATTTCGGATATCATCCCAATTTTTGTTGCTTCCATTGCCACATCGAATTGTTTGGTTATTTGATGGCGTTCAATCACCACACTTTTCCGAAGCCATCTGACCCATGGAAGCGCGGGATAGGTGATCCAAGATCAAGTCAACTCTGTTCAGAGTCAGCTCCATTGGGAGGCCCCAATTTTTTTCGCTGGCAATGGTTTCAAGTTTCAAGGGGCAGCGGTTGATAAAATTGTGGGATTAGAGATTATTACAGTAATGATGATTATATCCTCTGGTCATTTAACATACCCATGGAAGATGCCCATTTATAGATGATTTAGGATTCATGATGATTTACCTATTGGGGATGGCGATTTTCCAGAGCTACGTTAAATAACCAGAGAGTAATTGAAATTAATCACACAGTAGTTATAGTTATAATGTTATATCATCATAGTTACCATCTGCCAGTGAACATAGACCCTGCCAGTTATTGCGCTTGGAAGACTCCTTTCCTTTAAACATGGATGATGTTCAGGGTTGATGTTAGTTAGTTTGAGGCATGGCATGATATAGTATCATATATGCAAATATTATAGTTGACACTCCCAACAAACTTGGGTGATTCACCAACCACTATATAGGGTTACAAGCATCAACAACCCCACAGCAAAGATCAAGTATTGGGGATCCATTGGCCCATAAGACAACATCAACTTCATACACCGATGGATCAAGTTAGTAACTGGGTCAACACAATCATCCTGGAACACTCATCATAGTCGCGGGCAGCAGGATCCCAGTTTGCTTTTCTTGGGATGTGCAAAATATGTTTATATTTTAAAATATTTGCATATATAATCACATATATATATATATAATGTATATATATATAATATGTGTATATATATATATATAATATGTGTATATATATAATGTGTATATATATAATGTGTATATATATAATATGTCAATATGTGTGTATATATATGATACGTACACATATATATATATAATGTCCATTTAATATGTATATACATAAAAAAATATGTATATATATATAATATGTATGTGAATATATAATATGTATGTAATTATATAATATGTATATAGAATTTGTACATATATATATATATATACTGTGATATGTATGTATATATTATGTACACACATATATATATATACTGTAATGTGTATATATATATAATATGTATATATATAATATGTATATATATATAATATGTATATGTAATATATATATATATATATAATATGTATATATATAATATGTATATATATATATATAATATGTATATACATATATATATATATATAATATTATAATATAATACAATAATTTCATATAATGTTTATACATAGAAAATACAAACATAATATGTATACATAATATGTGTATATATATAATACGGAGCTACATATATATATATATACACATCTGTAACATATATCTATATCTATATCTATATATATATATTTATCTAAATATTAAGTCTACGTTCTGAGAACTCACATGCACAGAGGCAAAATACAAACATAATATGTATACATAATATGTGTATATATATAATACGGAGCTACATATATATATATATATATACACATCTATAACATATATCTATATCTATATCTATATATATATATATATATTTATCTAAATATTAAGTCTACGTTCTGAGAACTCACATGCACAGAGGCATGGACAGGAAACGCCTAGATTTGGGTTCCGGGGTGTATCCCCATCACCGGTGATGAAATACTGAGTCCCTCAAAAGGGTGATATTGCTGGAGGAGATAAGGATGATTGTGGCTGTGGCTGATTGTGGATTACTCTTGTCCGTATATTATATAGTCCACAACTATCATTATCATTATATATTCTCAGTGGGTACATGCTATACTATATTATATACACATCAACTGGTGTCCCTTGTCATATATCATCTTATAGTCACCCGTTTCTAGATGCTTTTCCCATTGTTTTGAACCATTTTAGGGCGGGGATTTCCCAGCTAGCCATGTTTGATGACCCCAGAGGGTATACAGTCCTTGTATTATCATAATCATTGTCCTCGTCATCATATACTCGTATCATCATCATCATCATCATCATCATCATCATCATCAGTATATATATATATATCATTGTATCTTCATATATTATATCCCATTATGGTACTGATATTATATATAGTCCTATACATCATTCTAGAAGTAACATAATATATAGTGGGTTGTCCCAATAATCATCATTGTGTCATCCCCATCTCACCATAATAACCATTATTGACCATTGTTATATAATCATTAACCATGATTCATCATTAATCATCATCAATCATTACCAACTAATAGGGGTATCATCAATCAAACCCCAACTATTAACCATTAACCAACTATTGATGATGATTATGGTTAATAGGGGTTAACCATCAGGCAATATTAACGCCCTTTTTCCATTAACCAACTAAAAAAAAACCCTATTTTCTGTTGCCCATCCACCATGACACCACGGCAGGCGGGCAGTCGTTCCAAGTGGATGTCGCTGCACGGCGCGGTGCTGTCAGCGGGCAGCTTCTGTGGCGACTTGGTGAGGCCGGTTTTCCGGGGCCGTAGGGCCACCGTGTCAGGCACGGTTTTCCAGTAGGACTTACCATCTGGTTATTCAACATAGCCATGGAAAATCACCATTTATAAATATTTATAATAGGTAAAACATCTATTTAACTATGGGCCATCGAAATCCCATGGCGAACTGTTAGTCATAACCAGATGGTAACCATGATGTAACTGGGCCATACTGGACCTGAAAATGGGAATTTTTATATGAAACTGGGAGTGATTTTCATTTTGACCAGAAAATGGGAATTTAAAATGATTGAACCAATCAAACATGGTGACTTGACCTTGAAAACATCGGAATTTTGATTTGCAGCGGATTTTGCGGTATTTTCAGATAAACAGACAAACCCGCTTGCTTTCTGCAAGTCCTCAATTTTGGGTACCATACCCAAAATCATCACACTTAAGTCTTGATTTTTTGATGAACATATGTGAGCGCCAGATATTTCGAACTACATGGCAAATTACTGAGAAAATGGCATGGTCTACCACCAAAACGACGCAGAAATCTTTGTGTTCCACGACCCATCGGCCATCAGTTGAACATTGTGATGTTGTCTGTGTCCTCACTGATGAAATCGACTTCGGACCCAGCTGTAACATCTGCTAGGCGCTTTGGGGAACACCAGTTTTTGGTGGCCTGCCATTTGGCTTCTTTGGGTGGTTTCCTTTGGTTTAAGAGGCGCGGCACGACCTGGATTTCACTGGCGGTTGAAATTGTCCACGGAGCGGTGGAAAGATTCCTTGATACAGTTGCTGTTTGTTGGAGATAAAAGGAATCCGAACAATTGTAGAAATAAACCCGAACTGCCTGGAACTGCATAATTAATTCCATATAAATTTTCCATGTAGTGCATCGCACAAGTGGTATAAACATTGCTGCTATAACAGTAAGTGTGTCTTTACCCCTTTGATGAATCTGAAGTCCCAGTTTTCTGTTGCTGAACAACTTTTTTACTGTAGGACCTTTAAACTTTAAATTTGACCGGCCCATCACCCATTTTCACCAAATCCATCCTAAAACATATCTTCAAAAAGCCACCAATAGTTTCAAACTGAATCTGCAGAAGCAACGCCGGCCACATTTTTTGAGAAAAACATCATTTTGAATCATTTTGTTTCATTCTGTTTTTTTACAAACATAACGCTGCCACATTTTCACCAAACAACAAAGATGATAGAATGCAAATGATATAAACTCCAGATTTTTACTCCACATTCTATATATCAGAACTCACCATTTATCCTGTGGTTTCTCCCACATTTTTGTCCCAAGCGTTTGGCGCGCCATGGCACGCCGCAGGCAGTTGCTGTGGCTGGGCCTGCTGCCATTGCTGCTGGGCTCCTCCAGGAGATTGGTGTCTTCGGCCTGGCTGCTGCAGGAGGGATGCCATGCGGGGCTGGGCCGTGGCGAGGCGGGGTTCGGTGATGGGGTTAAATGGATGGGCGTGATGATCTGTGCACAATGGATGGGCACAACTAGATTCTCCAGGGAATCCAACCCGACATGACATGGCCCGTAGGCTTTCGATGGTTTATCCGCCGCCAAACCGACGCTGCAGAAAACCGCCGAAGCGGCATCGATTCCAGCACAAAGCGCTGGCTTCCACACCGAAGTGCAGGTATTCGGTCGCGCCAAGCGCCTGTCCTACACCGAAGTGTAGTCTTCGTGGGAGGTATTTCTTGCAGGTCAATTCCCGTGCTGCAGCCGCCACGCCCCCCCTCCCGGGGACATGACATTAAATGCTCCTAATTTATGGATACAGGCCTGATTCAGATTGTGTTTTTCTATTGCCAGCTTTAATTTGTTTACCAGAGGGTAGCCACGAAGCACCCAGTGCGGGTGAGACACTGTCGAATTTCATCAGGCTTTAAGGGAAGAAACGACCTCGGTTTGATTCTCGGCGTCTTGTTGTTTCGCATTCTTACACTGACCGTCACTCTTGGAAGGTAGAATGAACATGAATGAACACTTTGGGTTGTCACATGTTGTCACTCCTTTTTCTCGACGTTTCGGCCCCTACTTCTAGGAAACAGACACGGACGATGCGACTGAAACGGAAAACACATCCATGGAATAATCGAGATCCTCTGCATGAGCAGTTGGTTTGTCCAAGAGTGCGAACGACAGTACTTCATTTTGTGACCATTTCAACAGGAACAATGGTTTCTTGAATCACTGGATTAGAGAAGAATCCCATTTTTGGGCAAACCTGACTATCAACCTTCAAATTTCGCCATGACCAAACCAACCTATCTCCAGAATAGCAACTGCACCTCAGAAAACCGACTTATAACTTGACGCCCCCCAAAACTGGCGTTGGAAGAGGATTTTCGGCTGTTGGAAATAGCTATTTTGAGGTTTCCTGTTGTGAATGAAATTCTGATCTGAGCACAGAGCTCAACAGGCTGAACCCAATGTTTTTTTTTGGTGAAGATCTTTCGGTTTCGCCCAGTAGTGAGGAGAGTGTATGTTGACAAATGTCCGGTTTACACCATGGCTATGTGGATCTATCATGTACTGACGAAGGTGCAGCAGATGAAACTGATGAGGTCAATCTTCAGGTGCTGTGCTTGACTGGAGAAGCAGTGACCTTAAGCGTCCCTTGCTCTATGCTTGGGTATGACCTGCAGCGGTTGGTGTCGGAGAAGCTTCCATGCAAGCCAGGCGCAAAGTTCGCCGTGCATCACATGAATGCAAAGCTGAGGCTGGATCAGAGCTTGGGAGAGCAAGGGATTGTCGAAAAATCGGCAATGCTATCCTGCACTTACATGCCAACCAATTTGTACACAGCATGGTGTTATACCGCTGAGCTTCCAACTTGTAAGAGAGAGTTTGCGCTGGAAGGCGTAACACAAATTGAGAACGCAACGAATGGAGAGTATCTACGACATTTGCCCCGCAGCCTTGCAAAATTGAGTTTTGACCATAGTTTCAACCAAAGCCTGGAGCGGGTGACCTTGCCATCGAGCCTTCAAAGCTTGAGTCTTGGTTACGATTTCAACCAAAGTCTGGAGCGGGTGACCTTACCATCGACTCTTCAAAGCTTGAGTTTTGGGAATGATTTCAACCAAAGTCTGGAGCGGGTGACCTTGCCATCGAGTCTTCAAAGCTTGAGCTTCGGTGATATGTTCAACCAAAGCCTGGAGCGGGTGACCTTGCCATCAGGTCTTCAAAGCTTGAGTTTCGGTGATATGTTCAACCAAAGCCTGGAGCGGGTGACCTTGCCATCGACTCTTCAAAGCTTGAGCTTTGGCGATATGTTCAACCAAAGCCTGGAGCGGGTGACCTTGCCATCAAGTCTTCAAAGCTTGAGTTTTGGCCGGGATTTTAACCAAAGCCTGGAGCGGGTGACCTTGCCATCAAGTCTTCAAAGCTTGAGTTTTCGGAATGATTTCAACCAAAGTCTGGAGCGGGTGACCTTACCATCGACTCTTCAAAGCTTGAGTTTTGGGATTGATTTCAACCAAAGTCTGGAGCGGGTGACCTTGCCATCGAGTCTTCAAAGCTTGAGGTTCGGCTACCGGTTCAACCAAAGCCTGGAGCGGGTGACCTTGCCATCGACTCTTCAAAGCTTGAGGTTCGGCGACCGGTTCAACCAAAGCCTGGAGAAGGTGACCTTGCCATCGAGTCTTCTCAGCTTGAGTCTTTGTAGTCTTCAACGCTTGAGCTTTGGCGATATGTTCAACCAAAGCCTGGAGCGGGTGACCTTGCCATCGAGTCTTCAAAGCTTGGATTTTGGCGGGGATTTTAACCAAAGCCTGGAGCGTGTGACCCTGCCATCAAGTCTTCAAAGCTTGAGTTTTGGCCGGGATTTTAACCAAAGCCTGGAGCAGGTGACTTTGCCATCGAGTCTTCAAAGCTTGAGCTTTGGCGATATGTTCGATCAAAGCCTGGAGCAGGTGACTTTGCCATCGACTCTTCAAAGCTTGAGCTTTGGCGATATGTTCAACCAAAGCCTGGAGCGGGTGACCTTGCCATCAAGTCTTCAAAGCTTGAGTTTTGGCCGGGATTTTAACCAAAGCCTGGAGCGGGTGACCTTGCCATCAAGTCTTCAAAGCTTGAGTTTCGGCGATGCGTTTAACCAAAGAGTGGAGCGGGTGACCTTGCCATCAAGTCTTCAAAGCTTGAGTTTTCACGATGAGTTTAACCAAAGCCTGGAGGAGGTGACTTTGCCATCGAGTCTTCAAAGCTTGAGCTTCGGTGATATGTTCAACCAAAGCCTGGAGCGGGTGACCTTGCCATCAGGTCTTCAAAGCTTGAGTTTTGGTCATGAGTTCAACCAAAGCCTGGAGCGGGTGACCTTGCCATCGACTCTTCAAAGCTTGAGTTTTGGTCACGATTTCAACCAAAGTCTGGAGCGGGTGACCTTACCATCGACTCTTCAAAGCTTGAGTTTTGGGAATGATTTCAACCAAAGTCTGGAGCGGGTGACCTTACCATCGAGTCTTCAAAGCTTGAGTTTTGGCTACCGGTTCAACCTAAGTCTTCAGCAGGTGACCTTGCCATCGAGTCTTCAATGCTTCCGGGCTGGCTTCAAGCCTACCGGTCGATTAGGACCCAATGCAATGATTTGTGTCAGTTGCGCAAGGTTTATTTAGTATTTTTGACATGATATTTCATAATATTTCATTTTTATACAATGTCGAAATATAGATATCTGTGCAAAAGAGGCTTGCGCGTCAGGTGACCTACCTGGGTTGGGGCGATCCGAAGCATTTTTTTGTGGATCGTCAGTGGGTGAATTACAAAATCGTTGGGGTCGACAGTTTGAGGATATTTGTTTGATATTCGGATAATTTGTGGAATCCATTAGATAGTTGGTGGATCGGATATGTGTTTGATATTTAGATACACAATCTTGGATATATCTGGGGTATGATTGATGTATCTCTACATGGTTGATTGGGCTTGGTCCGACCAACCATGTTTTTCCTCTCTGAAAACAGATCTCCAAGATTTGCACTATCAAATAGACATACAACTGACCAAAGGAATGCAAGTGACTGAGAGCTGGAAATGTCATGAACATTCATGAACAATATACAATAAGGATCAATAAGTAGGATATTGGAAGTATCGCCAATCGTGGGTGATCGCCAAATCCGTGGTGCAATAACATCACCAATCATCACCATTGGTATTAGCGTTTTGATGCATTTTGCTGAGGCTGAGATCTCCTCATCTTGCTGCATTTTCCTAACTTTTCCTAACTTTTACGGTTTCTTCAGTGAACATTGCTTCCGAAATGGTGATTTGATGTTACATTTCGACATTACGCGTGGTTGGAATGTTGATTCCTAGTTGACAGAATGATCCTAGGAGATAGTCACTTGACAGATCATGCATGTAGAATATCATGATAATCAATGACAATCAATGATAATAAATGATAACCAATGATCATCAATGATAATAAATGACAATCAATGATCATCAATGAAAATAATTGACAATCAATGATAATCAATGGTAATAAATGACAATCAATGATAATCACTGATAATAAATGACAACCAATGATCATCAATGATAATACATGATAATCAATGATCACCAATGATAATAAATGACAATCAATGATCATCAATGATAATAAATGATACTCAGTGATCATCAATGATAATAAATGACAATCAATGATCATCAATGATAATAAACGATAATCAAAGATCATCAATGATAATAAATGATAATCAATGACAATCAATGATAACCAATGATAGTCAATGATAATGAATGATCATCAATGATCATCAATGATCATCAATGATAATATATGACAATCAATGATCATCAATGATAATCAATGATAATCAATGAACATCAATGATAATAAATGACAATCAATGATCATCAATGATAATAAATGACAATCAATGCTAATCAATGATAATAAACGATAATCAATGATCATCAATTATAATAAATGACAATCAATGATCATCAATGATAATAAATGATCATCAATGATCATCAATGATAATACATGACAATCAATGATCATCAATGATAATAAATGATAATCAATGATCATCAATGATAATAAATGACAATCAATGATCATCAATGATAACAAATGGCAATCAATGATCATCAATGATAATAAATGACAATCAATGATCATCAATGATAATAAATGATAATCAATGATCATCAATGATAATAAATGGCAAACAATGATCATCAATGATAATAAATGACAACCAATGATAATCAATGATAATAAATGATAATCAATGATCATCAATTATAATAAATGACAATCAATGATCATCAATGATAATCAATGATCATCAATGATCATCAATGATAATAAATGACAATCAATGATCATCAATGATAATAAATGATAATCAATGATAATAAATGATAATAAATGACAATCAATGATCATCAATGATAATAAATAGTAATCAATGATCATCAATGATAATAAATGACAATCAATGATCATCAATGATAATAAATGATAATCAATGATCATCAATGATAATAAATGACAAACAATGATCATCAATGATCATCAATGATCATCAAAGATCATCAATGATCATCAATGATCATCAATGATCATCAATGATCATCAATGATCATCAATGATAATAAATGATAATCAAAGATCATCAATGATAATAAATGATCATCAATGACAATCAATGATAACCAATGATAGTCAATGATAATCTATGATCGTCAATGATCATCAATGATCATCAATGATAAGAAATGACAATCAATGATTATCAATGATAATAAATGACAATCAATGATCATCACTGATAATAAATGATAATCAATGACAATCAATGATAACCAATGATAGTCAATGATAATCAATGATCATCAATGATCATCAATGATCATCAATGATAATATATGACAATCAATGATCATCAATGATAATAAATGATAATCAATGATCATCAATGATCATCAATAATCATCCATGATAATCAATGATCAGCAATGATAATAAATCATAATCAATGATCATCAATGATAATAAATGATCAACAATGACAATAAATGATAACCAATGATAGTCAATGATAATCAATGATCATCAATGATCATCAATGATAATCAATGATCATCAATGATCATCAAAGATCATCAATGAGAATCAATGATCATCAATGATCATCGATGATAATAAATGATCATCAATGACAATAAATGATCATCAATGACAATAAATGATAATCAATGATCATCAATGATAATAAATGACAATCAATGATCATCAATGATAATCAATGATCATCAATGATCATCAATGATAATACATGACAATCAATGATCATCAATGATAATAAATGATAATCAATGATCATCAATGGTAATAAATGACAATCAATGATCATCAATGATAATAAATGGTAATCAATGATCATCAATGATCATCAATTATTGTCAATGATAACCAATGATAATCAATGATCATCAATGATAATCAATGATAATCAATAATAATCAATGATAATCAATGATAGCCAATGATAATCAATGATAACCAATGATAATCAATGACAATAAATGATAATTAATGATAGCCAATGATAATCAATGATAACCAATGATAATCAATGACAATAAATGATAATTAATATAATCATTGATAATCATTGATCATCATATACTTTTTGTTGGAAATCCATGATGATCGATCATTCAGATGACAGGTTGTAGGCTTAATGGCCACCCTACGAGCGGCCTCTGAGGCCTCGGGGCTGGGGCTGGGGCTGGGCATGGTAAATGATGCTTAAATGCCATGGGATTTCGATGGTTTACCTATTGAAAATGGTGATTTTCCATGGCTATGTTAGTCATAACCAGATGGAAAAAAATATGTATATATATATATTATACATTTATGTGAATCTGTACACAACATCCGTTAAACTGGATGATAGGGCCTATACAAATATCAATGATATTAATATCTGTTTGTTCACTGAATTTTGCAAGAGAACCTTGTGGGGACCCCAACTTACGAGTTCATTTGTTTGGGGTGGCTCCACACTCATGCCCTATTTTGTTTCCCCACAATGAGGGACTTGCGATCACGATGGTACCTACTTACTAGTATGCAGAATGGCAAATTGTCGTCCATGTAGGAATGAGAACCTCTGATATTATGTAGATACCCGATCAGGGTAGCTAGCATAGGTTAACTGATGTTAACTATATAGATTTTTATGGAACATGACAAGGACCCAGAGATACTAGAAACCCAGGTTTGAGGTTGAACATGGAACCAACACCGGGCTCCCTGTAGTGGGTACAGCCAGTGCAAACAATCATAAAGCCAACAGTGGGCATGTTTCTCGTAGCTCCCTTCTAGTGGAGAGTAACCTTCATCACATTGAGAAATGGCTACCTACCCTCTGGCTATAACTAATATAGCCATGGGATTTCGATGGCCCATAGAAATAGATGGTTTACCTATTAAACATGTTGATTTTCCATATCAATGTTAAATAACCAGATGGTATATCATTACAAAATATTATGAACACACTCCCCACAGTCTTGTCATTGGTTTGTCTCAACGTTTTGGATCCTAAAGACACATTCTGAAGTAAGGCCATTCAAAATGACGACGCATGAGTTGCTCGGGTCCGTTTGTCGGACTATGTCGGACTTAGGACTTGTCCCAATGAATTTCCCAACAAAAATTGGGGGTTCTCCTGAAAAAAAAATACGGTTCTGCGGAAAAGGCATGTTTTTTCGCAATAAAATAAGGTTGTCCCATAGATTATCCATAGATTGTCATCATTAACCATTATTAATAGTATATTAACCACATATTAACCATATTATTATACCACCAACCAGATTATAATTTACTACCAATAAAGATCCAAGGTTTCCTGAGAAACATGTTTCGCCTTTTCCATTGTCGCAGTCCTCTTGGCGATGCGCAGGCCATCTTTTCCTTCGTGTCGCAGAAAGCCTTCGAGCGGGCAGTCAAAGCACAGCAGCCTGCCCGGGGCTTGGGCAGACCGCTGAAGGGTAGGACCGGGTAGGATTTGCTTGCCCAAGCAAATATGTATACGTATAATATAAATTATAGATATATACATAATTATCAACAACAAGCAGTATATCATGTTATTTAATTTTTTGGCATCTATATACACCAATACTATGTAATGTATGTAATGTAATGTAACATAACGTAACGGTATAGTTTGTACGGTACGGTACGGTATGGTATAATATCATATGAAGATAACTTAGTATTCTATTGTGTAAGATATATATAGACATTAGGGTTTGTTTTAAGGGTTAGTTAGGGATTATTGCGGATTGACTTTAATGTTGCGAATTGACATGAATTAGGGATTCCATGTGTATATATATATAAAACATAGGGATTATATATATATACATATTAATTCTATACTGTGTATATCTGTGGAAATTATGTGGTTGCTTGGGGGCTTTAGGGTAGCTTAATGGGTGATGTGTAGCTGTAACCTGGGTTATTATATAAGATATACAATTTTGTTTGTGCTTTTTCACTGCCACGTTTGCTTACAAAAGGACGTATGTTACCTCTACTACCGGGGCGCGTTGTAGTAAACGCAATCCGTATCGCTGGGTGGATGAGCATCCCCCATATTGGATCTTGGATACCTCGGTCACTCAATGACCTGAGGCCAATGTCTTTCTCTTACCGCACCTTGGAGTGGATTTTTTCGGGTCAGGAGGGCGACGTAGGCTGAGTAGGCTGAGTAGGCTGAGTTATGTTGTGAGTATGCCCTGCTACTGAAGCATTCTTCCAGCTTCCTTTCGTGGCCTGCAAGATGAAAACAGCTGCAGTGCTATGTGCAGGGTAAATGAAATGAATTATACTCACATGTACATCAACAATGACTCAAGCACATTCCAGTTGTCATTCTCCATCATCGTGATTTTTCGTCAATCTCGTCCCACGGCTTAGAGACCTCCAGGTCTTGGAGGGATTGTCAACTCCAGCTGCCGGTCATTTCAGAGTCAGTTGGATCATCACAGTAGATTATCCCCAAGCAAATTGAGCATGGAAACCCAAAAAACAGGAACCAAGAGACTTAGCATATCTTGGCATCACCCAGTCTCTTGGTCCCTGTTCCTTTGAGTTTATGGTATCTACAGTACCCACTGAAAGGTGGGAACAATCCCACACAAAATACTGTAGCAGCCCTGAGAAATCCCTTTGTAGGTCATTTGCTGGTGTTGGGCTCCCATGTTGGTTTGTTTATGCTCTTGTTTACAGGATGCTTTTTTTTTGATTTAAGAATGACACGCCATTATAATATGCCCATTTTGAGCTCCCTAAATGATGGTCAGACTTTGAGTCTTTCCTGGCCCAGGACTGCCCTCATTTTGCTTTCAGAAGCGGTGCGAACGCGCATCGCCCTGCGTGCAGATGTGGGCAGGTGCGACGACGCTGCCGTAAAGACCACTCGGGATACTCGAAACTTGTGGGAATTGATCATTCCGTCCAAAAGATGCTGTGCAAGGCTTCCTCGATTTAAGCTACTTTCTACGATTTGTGGGATTCAATAAAACAATACTCGTGATGTGACTTCAGCGCCGTGATGTGCCTCGTGTTTTTCACAGCGCCTGCCACAAGATGTGCCTTTAGCGGCATGGGTTAAGCCGAGAACTTGTACAACTATGGGAGATGTTAATAGATATCATTTGGATTAACTAGGCTAATTAACTATATTACCATTCGTGTTTATCCATTCTATTAGAGTAGATAGTATGTACTATAGTGAATATATACTTTCGTTAAATCTATCATTAGGCTATATTCAACTACATATATTTGAACAAACATGTCCCATTCACCTCATCTGTACGGAGGCAACTGCTGGGCATCGGCGACAGCTTCTGGTCGGTGACTTTGCAACGGGAGGACTCGGAAGTGCGCCTTGGTGGATTTGATGCAAATCATTGATTCCATGGAAAAATGATAGAAAAAATTGGTGTATCCATCAAAAACCATGTTTAAAAATATGATAGAATAACAGACACCATAATTATCATTAATTATCCCATCCAAGAAATATCATTAGAATCGGTTGGGGTTATTGATCTTAGAGAGTTTATAGTTTGTAGTTACACTTTCTGTGTTTATGCAATGGTAATAACGTGGGCATTTGACCCGACAGAAATAAGACGGTCGGGGTCTTACCTAGAAGGACGGGGTTCTAGAATTCCAAAACTATAACACAATGTAGCTTTGTTTTTGTGCGACAATGAATGGCTACTCTCTATATTATATATATATATAGGTTCTAACATTGGGCAAGAACTGAGATTGAAATGCAGGTTCGAGGCAGCTTGACCCACCAAAGTTGAGACTTTTTTCCTCGTGAAGATAAAGGGAGCAGTAGGGATCGCTAACTGACCAAAAATGGGAATATTGGTCTATATTACCATGGTCGCGGATACGAAATGCAGATGTAGAGATTCAAGAGCAATTAATTCTGTGTATATATATTATATATATACGCATCATTATACACATCATTACACACGTCATTGTACACATCATTATACACATCATTATACACATCAACTATCATAAACTTCTCCAACAAGACCTTGAGGAGAACCCCTATGGATAGGTTGATACTCAAGGTGAACGCCCCAATCGAAAATCCACCTGAGGCAGTTAACAATGCGCGATGTTCATCAACACGGGTAGAATATAGGAGAACGCATCATATACTTAGGGAAAGTCGGAACTGTTTAGATGATCTACTAATGATCTTTGCACTATATTCAAATACCTAGTATCTAGTAGGTATTCATCTAATGATACCAGATCATACCAGTGAAACATAGTGAAACATAGTGAAGCATAGCGAAAACATAGTGAAACATAGTGAAACATAGTGAAACATAGTGAAACATAGTGAAACATGGATTTTCCCATGGATTTTCCCTAGGTATCCCTCAGTCACCCGCAACCCAGGTGGGGCATGGAGTTGGATCTCTTGGACCCGGCCCTGCTGCAAGTCTGTCGTCTGGTGCCTGACGGCCTCGTCCCCCGGCCACGAGAGAAACATCGAGTCATAGCCGTAGCCATTGCCAGGTAGATTTTACTGTCAATAGATCATAGAAAACATGTTTCTGATGTTTTGATGGCTTATATATGGCTTATATGTTCCAGATGTTTTTGCGGCAATTGGCTAAATGGCTATGATCTATTGAAGCAAAAACATCTGGAACATACAAGTCATAGATGTCATAGATCATAGAAGGAAAGCATCTGAAACTGAAAAAAAGACAGATGACAGAAGGAAACTTGCGGAGATCATGTCCAGATCATGTCCATTTCGTGCCGATGCAGTTCATGCTGCCTCTTGGGTGCGTGACAAATTGAGCCCAAAGAGGGAAAGCCACGAAGATGCCAACGGCACACGTCGAGATACGACAGGTTAATACAGGTTATGTACCGGCAAAAAATCTTAGATGTTTCAAGAATTGGGGGAAAATCTCTCCCCCTGGTTTGGTGGTGTGTTCCACAGAAAATTATTGGCTTGGGATATCCACCCAGCACACGAAGAAGGTCCTTTAACCTATCGCATCCGCCTGGAAACGGCCATGGGATGCTAGTTTCTTCCAGACCTATTTCTCATCACTCATTGGCATGATGATACACCCAAAAAACACGATTTTTCCAAGGGCATTGAACCCCCAGTGTGGATTGGTACCATTGACCAACATCAAATCTCCACAAAGACCTGACCCGGCAGTCTGCAGAATTGCAGGTCGACCGGTACAATGAGACGGTCTCAGAGGAGAAACAGATTCAGGTGAGCAGTGCAGGGGACTGGACACTGGGGGCTCCTAAATCATCCTAAATCCACTGGTTTATGATTCTATTGCCATATATCACCATATATCACCCATTAAAAAGGGCAATTCTATGGGGTATCCCAAAATCCACTGGTTTACGGCTTTTCATCTTGGAGGACCACATCATTTAAGGCTCCAGATTGTGCCCCACCAATGTATTGGACACCTGTTTACCAAGCAGTCGAATAAGATGTGGGATTTTCCTGCAGCGATAGCAGCAGATTGTGAAGGTTGCGGGTTACATCTAGCCAAGACATCCAAGATTAAGTACACCAGCGTACATATGGGTATGGGTCAATACCTATTAATACCATTTCTAGGGGAATGAACATCCATTTACCAGCTATTTTGATGTTCACCAGGGGTACAAGGTTTTGACACACTGCCATATAAATAATAATATACATAACATAGACCCGGGCAAGCCGGCGGCGGAAGTTTCCCAAACATAAATGACCTATAGTTCAAAGACAACCTGTCCCGACCGTGTCCTTCCCTCGACACTCCACACCTCACACTGCACACTGCACTCTTCGCACTCCAAACTTCAAACTTCACACTCCACACTTCACACTCCACACTTCTCACTTCTCACTGCTTCCTTCACACTCCAAACCTCACACTTCACACTTCACACTGCACACTTCACACTTCACAGTCCACACTTCACACTTCACACTTCACAGTCCACACTTCACACTTCACACTTCACAGTCCACACTTCTCACTTCGCACTTCACACTTCACACTCCACATTTCACACTTCTCACTTCTCACTGCTTCCTTCACACTCCAAACTTCACACTTCACACTTCACACTTCTCACTTCGCACTTCACACTCCACACTTCTCACTTCTCACTGCTTCCTTCACACTCCTAACTTCACACTTCTCACTTCGCACTTCACACTCCACACTTCACACTCCACACTTCACAGTCCACACTTCACACTTCTCACTTCTCACTGCTTCCTTTCCACTCCAAACTTCACACTCCAAACTTCACACTTCACACTTCTCACTTCGCACTTCACACTTCACTCACACTTCACACTTCACAGTCCACACTTCACACTTCTCACTGCTTCCTTCACACTCCAAACCTCACACTTCACACTTCACACTTCACACTGCGCTCTTCGCACTCCAAACTTAAACTTCACACTCCACACTTCACACTTCTCACTTCCCACTGCTTCCTTCCCACTGCACACTTCACACTGCACTCTTCACGCCCCACACTTCACACTGCTCTAAACCTACGTGCAACAAAAAAACACTAGCGCCAAAATGGAGAAAATCTGCTAACAAATCCATGTCGCAGCCTTCATGCAGCCACTCCAATACGATTTACGAGATCGAGCTGCAAAAGACAATAATATGACAAATGCAGCCACAGCACGAAGCAACCTTGACGCAGCCATTACAATGCGATCTGCAGAGACCGAGTTGCAAAACACAATAGAACTACGCGCAGCGGCGTCGGAAATTGTAGCTCCAAAACCGGATCTCGACGCCAGAGCGGAAAAAAGACGATTTTGAAGCACTTTTCAAAATGATTTTTAGAAGGAAAATCACTAGCGCCAAAATGGAGAAAATCTGCTGACAAATCACTGTGGCAGCCTTCATGCAGCCACTCCAATACGATTTACGAAGTCGAGCTGCAAAAGACAATAGTATGACAAATGCAGCCACAGCACGAAGCAACCTTGACGCAGCCATTACAATGCGATCTGCAGATACTGAGTTGCAAAACACAATAGAACTACGCGCAACGGCGTCAGAAATTGTAGCTCCAAAACCGGATCTCGACGCCAGAGCGAAAAAAAGACGATTTTGAAGCACTTTTAAAAAGGATTTTTAGAAGGAAAATCACTAGCGCCAAAATGGAGAAAATCTGCTGACAAATCACTGTCGCAGCCTTCATGCAGCAACTCCAATACGATTTACGAGATCCAGCTGCAAAAGACAATAGTATTGCGAATGCAGCCACAGCACGAAGCAACCTTGACGCAGCCATTACAATGCGATCTGCAGAGACGGAGTTGCAAAACACAATAGAACTACGCGCAACGGCGTCGGAAATTGTAGCTCCAAAACCGGATCTCGACGCCAGAGCGAAAAAAAGACGATTTTGAAGCACTTTTTAAAAGGATTTTAGAAGGAAAATCACTAGCGCCAAAATGGAGAAAATCTGCTGACAAATCACTGTCGCAGCCTTCATGCAGCCACTCCAATACGATTTACGAAGTCCAGCTGCAAAAGACAAGAGTATTACGTTTGCAGCCAAAGCAGGAAGCAACCTTGCAATCCCATTTACATTGCGGGAAGGATACTACAGTTGCAAATCACAATGGAATTCCATCGGCAACTCATCCACCAGCACCACTTGCAACCCCATTTACAATGCGGGAACGATCCTACAGTTGCAAATCACAATGGAATTCTGTTGTTAGTAGTCTCTCTGTTGCGACCACACATGCACGAAAAAAACAGTTGGAATACTCCCAGTTACAATGCGGAACCCGTTACGGAATTGATTCCGAGCATGATCAGAGCATGATCCGGACCACAACGCAGGACCGTCTCGCACCGTCGCACCGCAGAGGTAGATCATCGAGGTTGGGGAAATGGAACTGGTATGGAAACAAACATTAGGGGTTTCGTGCATCTGCTAATCTCTCAAAAACGCCATTCAGTTACAGCGAGACTTTCCTCCAAAAACCCATCGGAACTCATCCACCAAGCACCACTGCAATTGCCCATGACAGTGAGGGAACGATCTAGAGTTGCAAAGCACAATGCAATTCCATCAGCAACTCGTCCACCAGCAACACTTGCAACCCCATTTACAATGCGGGAACGATCCTACAGTTGCAAATCACAATGGAATTCTGTCGACCACACATGCACGAAAAACAGTTGACACCCCATTTACAAAGCGGAACCGATCCGAGAATGATCCGAGGATGATCCGAACATATCCGAGCATGATCCGACCACACACGAGACCGTCTCGCACCCGTCGCACCGCAGAGGTAGATCATCGACGTTCGGGGACGGACTTTGTATGGAAAAACATAGGGTTTCGTGCATCTGCTATCTCTCAAAAACGCATTTCGTGCGAGATTTCCTCCAAAACTCCATCGGCAACTCCTCCACCAGCACCACTTGCAATGCCATTTACAGTGAGGGAACGATCCTAGAGTTTTAACTCTTTCTTTGACTAACTCTTTCCCTGACTAACTGTTTCTTTGACTAACTCTTTCCCTGACTAACTGTGTCTTTGACTAACTCTTTCTTTGACTAACTCTTTCTTTGACTAACTCTTTCCCTCACTAACTCTTTCTTTGACTAACTCTTTCCCTGACTATCTGTTTCTTTGACTAACTCTTTGTTTGACTAACTCTTTCTTTGACTAACTCTTCCCCTCACTAACTCTTTCTTTGACTAACTCTTTCCCTCACTAACTCTTTCTTTGACTAACTCTTTCCCTGACTAACTGTTTCTTTGACTAACTAAACTCTTTGTTTGACTAACTCTTTCTTTGACTAACTCTTCCCCTGACTAACTCTTTCTTTGACTAACTCTTTCTTTGACTAACTCTTTCCCTGACTAACTGTTTCTTTGATAACTCTTTCTTTGACTAACTGTTTCTTTGCTAACTCTTTCCCTCACTAACTCTTTCTTTGACTAACTCTTTCCCTAACTAACTGTTTCTTTGACTAACTCTTTGTTTGACTAACTCTTTCTTTGACTAACTCTTTCCCTCACTAACTCTTTCTTTGACTAACTCTTTCCCTGACTAACTGTTTCTTTGACTAATTCTTTCTTTGACTAACTCTTTCTTTAACTAACTCTTTCCCTGACTAACTGTTTCTTTGACTAACTGTTTCTTTGCTAACTCTTTCCCTCACTAACTCTTTCTTTGACTAACTCTTCCCCTGACTAACTGTTTCTTTGACTACCTCTTTGTTTGACTAACTCTTTCCCTCACTAACTCTTTCTTTGACTAACTCTTTCCCTGACATTCTAAAAGTCCGTAACACGGAAGTTTCTCCCCCTAAACTTCCTTTGATAAACATACCCTCCAGTAAGCTGACATAGCTACGGACATGGCCCATTGATAGAACTTACCTCTGCAAGGCGGGCGACTTCATCTTGCAGGTGAATCGTACCACTGGGGAGGCAGGGCCGAAACAGGTGGCTGGTCACCTTCCGATGGCTTTCACCACCAATTTCATGAGGCATTTAACCGCCAAACACAGGGCTTTAACCATGAATTTTCATGGGGATTTAAGCATGAAGAATGTTGTATAATGGGAATCTAACCTGAAAACAATGGATTTCACGAACAAAAATGGTGGTATAAAGATAAAGGAGGTATCATTATGTATTATTGATATTCATGGAGATGTTCCATGAGATTATGGATGTTATAGACCCATGGGATATCAATGGGGATAAAATAGGATGTATAACGAACAGAGGGACTGAGAAAATGGTACCAAACAATGATGAAAACAAACCATTCTAGGGCGATTTAGTGTAATATCATATGTTTCTGGGGATATACTGTAATGGAATCTATATGACACATACATATACAACCAGCACTCTCATACAATATGCAGGTATGAGTGTATCAATTGTTTGCTTGCAAGATCCTACGATGTACTTATTTTGATGAATAGCTTACTCAGCAAGACTATTGGAAATATCGGATCGCATATTTTGTCCAAGTGCGTTGAAACCACATCCGCAGTGCCAGCTCTGTGTTTGTCATTCAGGCTTCGGCGATGGCGGATCAACTTGGAGGGTGGCCTGGTTAAGATCGTTGCCAACAAAGAGGGGTGGGTTTTCACCTTCAAAAGTTGAATTATATATACCAGTATATATTATATACCCATATCGGGGGATGGTCATCCATGAATAGAGGTTGATACAATATCAATTGATATACAGGATTCCATTACGGGATGACCGCATGTTTCCACCATGTAGCTACTAGGACCCCCATATGGGGTCGTTCGTGAAGCCACACTCTTCGTAGTTCTTGATGGTTGAACCATCCAAGTGTGGGATTACTCCTGAGCCATGGCCAAATGCTGGCACCTGACTGTGGCTCCAAGTTTTTGAACCCCCAAATTGGACAGCGTAGTCATTACAAAAACTGACCAGTTTGGCACCACAAATGTTTCTACGATCAAAATTCAGCAAGAAAGCAGAAAGTGGGCTTTGACCCGAAGGATATTCATCCATAAAAGCGGGAGTATGAACCAATTAAAATAGGGATGCCCTGCAATAAACTAACATCGCCGTGGAAAATTTACGACAGCAGGTAGAAATGGGCAAAACAGGAAAAACAGTATACTAATGTGGATTCTCCATCGCTATGTGCTTTTACCAGAGAGCAGTATCAGTAATCATGATGAATATCCAATCTGATTTAGGGCGCTGGCTACTAGCGAGTTTGAAAGCTCTATCAACCACACATTTTCTTTGGGGGCCCTGAATGCTGACTGCTGACATGTCCATGAAGGAGCGCGTTTGGATGCTTCTTGTAAATTGATAATGCCGATCATTGTATAGCAGTTGATGGTATGTTTTAGCTTGACATGGCCCGAACAATTTCAGCATTCACCACTTCACAGCGTGGATCATATGAACCACTGATTTGACCATGGATGCGGTCCAAATCCTCTTAGTAAAATCCCATATATGCGGGGTTTTGAACATCATTAAGCAACTAGAACTAGTATTTTGACCATCATTAGCAACATTATGTTCAAATCACCCCAACATCTGTAACCAACAGTTGTTTGGAACAGCGTTCACTTGGGGTTGATGGGAGTCCCTCGTGACCCGCTGAGATTTTCCAGGTCCAAAGTCCGTCTGACGCTGCAGCGACCGCTCTGGCACCGGGTGCCCCTAACAGGGCTCGGCAAAGAACAGGAGCGCCTGGAAGGCGAAAATAGCCACCTACCAGCTATATAAACATGGGATATATATAATATAATATAATAATAACAACAATAACAATAACAATATATATATATATATATATATATTATATGAATTATATGTGGACACAACCATCAAACAAATGGTGATGTTCTGTGAATTAAAATTGGACCAGCATCTAGCCATGAAACATGGAGATTTGAGTAAACTCGCGGGGTTCACCTTCAACTGCCATGGTAATTTTTTGGGAAGATCTCAACTCTTAAGCAATATTTTCTTAGAGGAACAACTGAACAACCTCATGCCCACATCATTTTGGCTGATGCCACCACTTTCATCGATTTGTTCACTTATTTTACCCTCCAGTAATCAAACATGGCTAGCTGGGAAATCCCGCGTTAAATGGATGTTTATGGCTGGGAAAATCATCGAACGTTAAATGGAGGTTTTCAGCTAGCCACGTTTGATGACCAGAGGGCATATAAAATACACCATTATATCAGTATCCCAATTATACGGTTATACCGTTATCATAGCATGTTTCTTGGTGAAGTTCAATTCCCCATTTTCTGATGGTTATGTCCATATATATCCATATATATCCATATAATATCCATGTAATATCCATATAATATCCATATAATATCCATATATATCCCATGTTTATCTCGGATTTTTTGGGTCAATTCTCCCAGGAGCTCCGATCGGTGCTGACCTCTTTGCCGCAGAGTGTGTCCTTGTACGCCACCAAGAGCATCTCCGGAGTTCCAGGAATCAGGCGCTTGTTAGCGCCCGAAGTCCGGGTGAACAATGGGGAGATGTCATGGGATATATCATGGTAGACATGGTATTTACAAACAGATCATTTCTTTCAGATTGGAAGCCTGAGATCATCCCAAATAGTTGTGACAGGTTGTGACAAGAATTGGGTCAAACTTCTCTTCACCCCGATATTTCGCTGGGATTTATGGATGTACAGAACCCCCAAGATAATCCAAAGTATAAAACGTAATCATAGGTGAATCAACAAACATGGTGATTTAATGGGATGTAAGTTATATAGTGGAATTTACATGGTGAAATTTTTATATATTCCTGTATATAATCAATCAGCAATATCCAGATATGGGTGTGTCTGAAAAAAAATCATTGCAATTTTCAGTAGGGAATCTATTGTGATTAACCAGCAAATTTTTGGGAACACCCATTTTCAGAAAAACCTCAATCGGTTATTATCAGTCCCCAGGGATGTCGGTGTCTGATGGTTAGTTCGATGATGTATACAAATGTATGAAAAATGGGGATTTACATAGGACAGTGTTAGTGTAATGGAGGGTTCCCGATGATTTCCGTTTACCTAGTATTTTTCTGTTGTCTGACTCCCTATCGTTGCTGATTAAGTCCAAACTATTGTTGGGTAAATCCCCACGTTGGTCACATCTCATTTCTTGTTGCGGTCAATTCCTTCTATTTTTTCCCTATGAAGCCACAGTAAATCACTTGGGGATGGTTTATGCAACCCACACAAATGATGATCACTTGAGGATGGGTTAGATTTATATTTCCCCATTATATATGTATTTTTAAATTTATCACCCACACACTAAATCATTTTGTGATGGACTAATGGATGCTAATGGTGATTTGGGTTTACCAACAATATATTGGAAAACATCACACACTATCATATATTATCAAGTACATCTATACTATAATGCATATACATATATATATATATGCATATATTATCGAATACATCTACATCTATACATATCTATACTCTAATGTATATATACAATCACCGACAGAATTATGGAAAAACAAAAAACGTTTCAATTTACAGGCGCCGCCTGTCTATGATAGAAAAGTTACGAACCTTTTTTTTTTCCCATAATTATTTTTTCCATAATTATTTTTTTTTCCATAATTCTGTCGGTGACTGTATGTCCATCGATTCGCAATTTGAATGCATTTTAAGGGGGAATATTGAATTATAGAAAATATGTGTTTAAAGATCTGGTATATGCCCCTAAGTCTTCCATTGATATACATAATATTGTGTGATGTTCGCAATTTGAATGCATTTTAAGGGGGAATATTGAATTATAGAAAATATGTGTCTAAAGATCTGGTATATGCCCCTAAGTCTTCCATTGATATACACTTGCACCACCAAAACTCATTGTTGTACGTACATACATATGCGGGATGTATCCTTTTGCCAAGCCACCAATTGGGTTGATACTACATACTTGCATTTGCATACATATTTCCATAACCCCCCAAAAAAAGGGGTTTGAATTGTGGATCCATGACATGTCCAACAGGTGGAGCCCCAAACATTAATTATGGAAAAAATAATAATTATGGAAAAAAATAATTATGGAAAAACCGGTCAATCTGCCCTAGCCCCCTGATTTTACAGGAAAAATCAATTATGGAAATAATGGCCACCTCCAAGAATTATGGAAAAAAAAAAAGGTTCGGATCACTTCCGGGATATTTTGAACCCTTATGGGGAAAAATCCAATTATGGAAAAATCGGACGCAGGCGCCGCCTGTCTAAGTTGAACGTTTTATTTTTTTCCATAATTCTGTCGGTGACCATATATATATATATATTAACCTTATCTGGTTTACCATGGTTTACCAAATCAGGAACTCCCAGGCGTCACGACCGCATCATGGCAGTGGATGGCTCGACCGGAAATCTGCAGAATGCCTTGGGAGATGCGCTGCAGCGTTACTTGGCACCGGGTGTCATAGGGGGATGAAACTCTGTGGTTTATTGAATTTATTGGTCAACTCCACAAAAATATGGATTGCTGGTTTATACCACCTAGAAAAACGGTGATGATAATCGGAGATGATTTATGGCATTGTTTTAGCCACATGATATAGGATTCCATGGGTTATATGGAATGTTTATGGGATATAATGCATTTATGGTACTATACATTCGGGTCTGGTTTATTGCTGTATTATGCTGTACTAACGTGAATTGGGATTTTGCTTAAACAAAATAGTGGAAAGTGTACATGTTATGGGGATTTCACTTAAACAAAACATATATAGTGGACATTGGAAATATTGTCGGTTTACCTTCATCAAGAAAAAATATTGTTTGGTATGATCGGGATGCAATGATTGCAATGAGGCAATTTTACCATTTGGTAATTTTCACCAACAGTTTGCTATGGAAAATCACGAATTCAACATGCAAATTATCTATAAATGGGCAATGTTCCATAGGGCCTTAGAGTATCAGAACTGGTTGGTTTGATGTATTCAACTGACTAGAATTGAATTGCTTTATGTTGGTATTGAACCAACAAAAATCAGATGAACTTAGCATATTTTTGTCAAACATATAGGAATTTTGACCCAACACACACCTTTCGTTTACAGGGAAACATGGGGGATTTCACTGATTATGTCGCCACCATTTCATAGGGGTACATGAAATAGATACTGTTTTGGTTGGTGGTTTCAGATGTTTGTTGTTTTCCGTGCTGTACCTCTGTGACAATAGAATCCCACTCGACTCATCTTCTTCACGGGGTGGTTGAGCCCCACCACGCAGGTGAGGAAATGACCCCTGGACCAACCCAAAAAGCACTGGAAGGTCGTGACTGGTCCGTGGTTTCAAACATTTCTTTGTTTGGTCACTACTATTTGGATCTATTTAGGATGATTATACCCGATACTAGTTTTTTTTGATTCTGAATGATTTCAAATGATTAAAATGTATTTATGTGTGTGAATGTATCTATAGTTACTACCACCAGGTCACCAGGATTCAGACAGTTCATGACAGTTGGTTTTCCACTTTACCAACAATTTCATACAATTTCATCATTTTGCATTGTTGTCATATGGGGGGCTGTGCCTGCATGAAACAACAATTTCATCGATTGCTTGAAAAATGTTCAATGCAACCCTTCGGAAGAGTTGTGTATTTCCATATCTATGTAGGTAAGCTCGTATGTGTATGTCCAATCGAGGGCAAACAGAGGGGGTGGCGGATTTGATCCCTTTTGAACATATGTTGGATGAAAATGGATGAAACATATTGGATATATTATATGATATTATATGATATATTCCAACATATTGGATATATTGGAATCCCTTTTTGGTTACCCTCTGGTAATTTAACATAGCTATTGAAAATGGCCATTTATAGTGGATTTTCCCATTAAAAATGGTGATTTTCCATAGTTATGTAAACGTTTACCAGAGGGTAATATCCCTTTCAGTATATCGGAGGGGCCAGGGGACCCCAGGGGATTCCAAGGCTGCGAGCCCTTCGAAGTGAGCCTGGCGCGTCCGGGTGTGCCGGAGGAGCCCTAAAGATGCGCTGCGCTGAGGGTGGCCAAAGTGGTGGAGATAGATTCCTACTGAATCTAAAATATATATAATGTGAAATCACATATCTATTGTGGGTTTAAGTTTTTATCATACATATATATATATATATGTGTAGGTTGTGTAGAACATGTATTATATATGTAGACATCCATTTGCGGGTATAAACTAGGATTGTGGGTAATGGCCACCGTGGATCAATCATCCTCCGGTGCCATCAAACATGGCTGCCTGGAAAGTCCCCGCACAAAAATGCACAAAATGGGTATTCTACGGCTACTGTGCGGGGATCCCCGCAAAATCATCGAACTAAATGGGGGATTCTTCGGCTACTGTCCCATGTTTGTTACCAGAAGGCAACCCTGTAGCCCTCTGGCTGTTGATCATTGGGATTGAAATCATCAAGCAACAAAAAAAGTAAGGTATTGTGGGGTATGATCTATGTAAATAGAAATCCAGGTTGGTATCCATGGTTATGACACGCTGGTGGATGGTACTCATATGGGGATATCATGGGATATCCTCACGGAAATGACGATCAAATCCATGGGATCTCAAGTGATGGATCCCAAGTTATGCTGGTAACTGGTAACCCTCTTAACCATTCAGTGAACCCCCTTGAAAAACGAGGCAAATCCTAGTGAAAGATGAACTTATTCTTCTTCGCCGCATTGAAGATGGCCCACATGTTTTTTGCATGGATCGCATGATATCCAGGCAATTCCCGGAATTAAAGGACTGACGCTTTTCCGGACAGATGATTCTTGGGATCGAGCTGGTTCATTGATAATTATATAGTTTTGTCATGTCCAAGGATACTGTAGGGTCCGCACAATCTTATAGATTATCGTCTTTCCCCAGAAAAATATTGCCACTATTTGCCACAAACCAGCGGCCCATCTCCCCATTCTGAGACAAACTCTAATATATTGCGGTTCATTTCTTTTCTGAATTTTCCGTATTCTCAGCTTTGTTAAGGTAATTCGGGACTGCCCCATGAGGACTGTTTGTTGCCAACGCGTACAGGCGTACATGCGCTACATGCTCAAGCACAAAGAACATGAGATGCTTGAAGCCCAAAGCAACTTTAGGAATAATCTCACAAATTTGCTCGTGAGAATGGAGATTTCGCTTATACAAATAAACATGCGCAATTGATGAACTGCACTTCAGGAGCGAGCGTAAGTCCATCAATTGAATCAAGCTGAGCACAAAAGAACCACCCTAGACATCAACCATATGGGGGAACACATTCTTCACCAGATACCAGGCCCTCCTTCAATTGATATCCCTACATACGGCTTAAGATGATCCTCATGGAATTTTTCTTTTGTTTGGTGCCATGTTTCGCCACCAACCAATACCAGGGTTCAGTCAGAAATCTCAAGCCTCCATCAAAACACCCAAATAAAACATAGAGAAGCACCCAAACCTTGGAAGCAATTTCCTTCATTTCACCCAAGGTTCGCTCATGATTTTTCACATCACCCAAACACCCAACCAAAACCTCACTTTTTCACATCACTTCACATCACAAAACAAACTTTCAAAAGCTTCTCACGCCTCGCCGTGATTTCGCCATGAAGCGCCGGGTGAATACCTTGGCCTCCTCCACAGCCAAGAAATCTCGGCACTGGCGGGAAGAGGAGGAAGAGGACGTGCCATGGCGAAGTGCGAAGCTCCGGTTTTTTTTGGGCGGAGGATGGGAGTGTTTTCTTGCAGCCAAATTGGGGGTTGAACTATGTTGACGTATGTTGAACTGCTTGAAAAGGCACATTTTGGGGTTTAACTTTTACTCGTAACATGTTTTGACCAACAAACCCCAGCAAGAAGGGAGTTTTGAGAAGTAAAAATGCGTGTGTTTTTTAAGCAGCTCAATTACCGGGGGGATAACACATGGCATAACATTGTGTTTAACCAAACAGAATCGAACGTGGATGCACTGCCGGTAAAAGAAGTGATTTAAGTTTCTAAACGGTATACTAAGCAGCAAAATTTGGATTCCATCAAGCAAGGGTTCGGGGGTTCGAACTGGCCATCGGGATAGTACCCTGCAGATATGCGACTGACATTTTATTGGGGGGAACACAGACCCCGGACTAGGATGACTTGGGGTGATCCTTCGAAGCGCCGCCTCACAATGGGATTTATCCAAGTATATACATCCAAGATCATCCAAGTACCCTCTCTAGGCCCAGATTTATCCATTCCAGCAGGGGTTAATAAAGGAAAAACAAAGGAACATACAGGAACCATGACTATTGGGATAGTAAACCATGGATTTGCTGTCAAATCTATCGCAGATTTAGCCAGTGACATACATACATAATATATATAATATACAATGATAACACATCCTTGTGTTTATTGGGTCAATGGCAATCTTGCAACGTATTTTCTGAGGATTGTCTATATATATTTTTTCGATTTTCTGAAAAGAAATGCGCAGTTTGTCACAGGTGAACTCTCGTCACTTGTCTGGCTTTGCCCGAAAACTGGGTACCCCCAAATCCAATGGTTTTACTGATGATTTTGCCCATCAAAGTGGCAATTTTATTGGGTATCCCCTCCAAATATGGACACACCCATATCATATCTTTGCTTTGTACCCGTTTCTTTATCAATGTATTTCGATATCCCAATTTTCGGACACGTTGCCATTATGAGCATACATGCGCATTATTCGTTTGTCAAATCAATTCTAGTTTGTTTGTTGCAAATCTCCAGTGGGTGGACAACCCCAATATGGGCATTGGTCAAACATCAGGTCCTAGTGGTCTTGGTCAAACGCGGTCATTTTAAGTTCAAACAGGGAGTAAATAACGTTGAGCCATGCCGCTGTGAGGGTCTTTAACCACTTAATTGGGAAATCCCCATTAGATCCCCATGAATACCAATTAAATCTCATGAGCTCCCCATTAAATCATCAAATATCCCTATGGTTGCTGCTTGTACTACGATTTTCCTGTTACAACATATTGACTCCCAACTACATAATCTTCCTTAATCTTCTTAAATCCTCAGTAAAGGTGGGATTCATGCACAGATCCCAACTTCAAAACCGCGGCAAGGCGGGTCCCAGCGACGGTGTTGGGGTGCCCTTGCCCGACAGCGACGATGAGAAGCCACCGCCGCCGCAGGTGGGGGATCCACTGGGAACAGCGGTGGCGCCAACTGGTCGCCAATACTCAAATGCATTTTGGTGTCAGTCAGGTTTTTCTAGGCCCCCCGTGTTTCACAATAGGCTTTATTTTTGGTTCTTTCTGCATATTGTGGAGTTGCCCACGCGCCGCGGGCGCACGGCTGGACAGACTGACAAATGGTATAGGCATATATAGGCCATTTTCCATAGCAATGTTAATTAACCCTAGCCTGAAATATGAGGCGTTAGCAATGAAGAATGGTTAGCATCAAGTCAAACCCAAGTTGCAAGTTCTAAACAACGCACCATCAAGAATTGAGGATATTAACTGATATCAAAGAACAATAATGGGAATACTACCTTTGGGCTCCGAATTTCAAACATGGCTGGCTGGAATACCCCCCATTCAATCATACAAAGTTGATTTTCCCATTTGCCCATTTAGTGCCTATAGCCATGTTTGATGACACCGGAGGGTAGTATGAACACTGAAACTGGCAAAGGGAAGTTCCATTTTTTTCATGGAAAAGTCATTTATGATATATCTGCAGAAGTCTCCATTCCCACGCCCCGATGAAACCAGACGGTCACAAGCATAGGTTTTACTATAATACCGTCCGGTGTCATCAAAACACGGCTGGAAAATCCCTAGACTGTCACTAAGTGGAGGTTTTAAGGGGAACATCATCGAAGTAAATGGGGGATTCTTCAGCTGGCCATGTTTGTTCATGGATTACACATGTGAGTTGATTTCAGTTGGTTGAAATCTCATTGAGGTTCTCTCATTTGTGAACCAGGATGAAAAGGAATAAACTGGTGGTCAGGGTTCATTCATCTGGCTATGGTACAAAAGATCATCAACTGCGGATGATAATAAAGTGAACATCCCAGCCCGTTGTCGTCCGCCCTCTTCATAAGGGCATTATATTTCTGCAACCAAGGAGGATCCAGCAATCGGATAGGGATGGATAAAGCGGATAAGGATACAATACAACGAATAAAGAGAGACAGAGATATAGAGAGAGAGAGAGAGTGAGAGTAGGGGAGAAGGAGAGAAAGAGAGCGAGAGAGATCATTAACGATGGTCGGTACAGAGCCCAAAGATTATCATGGAAATGGCGGATTGGTCAAACGGCTGGGTGCCCAGATACACATAGATACACTGGTTGAAATGCATGAATCTCGCTAATTGCTCTCTCTCTCTCTCTCTCCATGTCAATGTTTCATATGAGGGTGATATACATATATTATCACATATTCATAGACTAAACATACCACATACCACACCAAAGCATACCATACCACACCTTACCATACCATACCACACCAGAGCGTACCATACCATACCATGCCATCACATGACATTGCATTACTATGGTGGCACACATATGTACAGTGTATAATAATAGATGGTCCGCTTCATGACTCCCCCGAGGCACCTGCAAGCTCGCCCAGCGGAGTGGGTGCGCCCAACCCAGTGGTGTGGCTTGAAATCCAGGTGCGTCAGGGCAGGGCCCTGGGTACATCAAAGCTAGCTGCAAAAACAGATCTATGCGTTTGGCTATATGGCTAATATTATATCTATCTATACAATTTATTTCAAAATTTCCGGTAAGGTGATATAGAAATGTGGAAAACTCATGAAAACTCAGAGGAGGATCCAAGTGGGAGGATCCTCCCGAAAGTGGCTACTGAAAGTGGGTTGCTTCTGGCTTTTGAGGGTGAGTGTAATGTAGGCACACTGTGGTGATTTATGTCATTTTGCTTCCTTGAGCAGAGCCTGGCTGATGTTTGTCGCTGAAGAGCCCCATCTGTTCAAGGTTTCTGGTGGTTGTGTTTGGTGGTTTTGAGTTCTTTGGACGTGCCGGATTGTGATAATCCTTTATACTACTTATATCACTATATATCACTGGATTTTGGGGGAAACCACTCACCCAGACCATCAATATACATCTGGATGGTGACTTGAATATGTGGGGAGATTCACTTTGTGTTGGTCGTTTAGCGCTGCACATTTCCAACCCGCCAGGAATCTGTTTTACATTGAATCATGGATGAAATTCATTGATTCTTCCAAAATCTTCCAAACAACATTGAACATATGTATACATATTTATTGCGAGTGTTGATTCTGGGCGGGTGGTATTTCTACCTGCTGATGTGGTCACAGACCCCAGAACACACCAATCCAATTTCCAGATCATTCAGGTGGCTGATAAATCGCGGGGACGACTGCACTTCGAGCTCTTTCAGGATGGATTTTAGCCAATTTGGCACTTCCAACTTGGCTAAATCACTGACTGTGCAAATATCAATCCTGGATTTATCTGGATTTTGTTTCACCGGCTGTTGGTCAGTGGGACCACTTTAGCAATAGCTTACCACTTTTTGGGAAGCTTCACGAGGGGCCCAGGGTGTTGACACATTGATCCCACAGGTTGAAGCGAAAGAATGCCAAAGTAAACCAGGGTTGATATGGTTAAAACCGATGGTGTCCTGCAACATTTCCTTTATGCAAATCGAATAAATGGTCAATACAAAACGTCTATCATTACTTATATACTATTAGTTACGCGAAGTCATTGGTTATCTACCCACGCTTGGTTGCAAATTCCCTTTTGGACTATCATTGGATATACTAATATTATGGGTTTTGCATGGTTTTGCATTATCCCAAGGGTTGTATTTCTACCAGAATCCCGATATGCGATGGGTACCTCTGGCAGATCATCATCCTAGGAAAACAATGGAAAAACCATATCGAGATGAAGAAATCAATTTATACTCTATATTTTTGGTTGATTAGATGAATCCATCCAGTCACATCCAGCTATTTTTGATGGGGGTACTTGTAAAATCCAGGGCAGTCCAGGGTTTGCTCAGTTGGTGAACACATATATCTATAGTTAATTGATATTATAAACCAACTCGTAACTATGTGTAATTACATAATTATATATATATATGTATACAAAACACATGTCATATTATATCATAAACCATAGATATCTCAGCTTGATAGACCCTTCCGAGAGACGGCTCCAGGACTTGGCGCCCAAGGCCTCCGAGAGCTTCCGACAGCTGTGTTTGGGGCACCGCGCAGTACCTCGAGCTGGGGCCGGATGTCCAGGTGAAACGGTGAAACAATGGGAACCATCAAAAAGGGTGGATTGAAGCATCATTCATAGAATTGGATGATGGGAAAATTTACAGGAAAGCCCTATATTTGATGGTAAAAACCATGGTTTCCTGTAGATTTTCCCTTTAAACCAATCCAATGAATCATAGAAGAAGGAAAAAACATGAAAAAAACCTCTGAAACTGCTGGGTTGAAGCCTGAAACTGGTGGGGATTGAGCCAAAAAAACATGGGGATTCAACCATCAAAATCCATGCAAGAAATTCAGCTATGAATTGACAAAGCAAGATTGGATAACTGAAGATAGAGCAACAAGTCAACAAACAATCAAACAATGAACAGTCAATTGGGGATACCCAAAGCATAAACAACCTAGCCTAGCAAAATCTGCATACAAAGCAACAATTCACTAAGGGTGCTGTGGGCAACCATAGTGTTGGGAGTATATCACTACGATTCCAATCCTATTATATATATATATGATTATACACATATATATACATGTATACATATCTACATACACACAATGTATCCATGATATTATATACATATATACATATGCTACTATACATACATTGACACTACGGACCTTGTCTTGCCTCACCCTTTTGAACTTTTCCTTTACAGTACTATGGGACCATCTCTCCTTGCATGGGGGAGAGGCCACCCTTGTCCATTTCAACAGGCACAATTACGAACCAGTGGATTTGAAAGGGGGTTCAGTGCACGCTGCACCTAGGATTCCAAGACCGTGAGCTATGCCGAGACCGCTGTGGACGTGGTGTATGCCGGTCGATATTTGACGGCTGGAGACATCGACGTGCTTGGGCTGCGGCCGTGGGAATCCAACACCAAACCAGGTTTCTAGGTGTGTAATTGTTCAATAGTAAGGGGAAGGGATTAGATATGATTAGATATGATTAGATATGATTAGAAATGAGTTCTTTGGTAGCATTTTCCCATGGCGAACTGATCCAATTTTATGTATGGATATGGGATGATATGGGGTCAAAATCTTTGAGGACCGCAGAAGTTTCCGCCTCCCAAGGCAAGCCTTCCGTTCGACGGAGTGGAAAGTAGTTGCGACTTGAAGCATGCCAAGGCAGCCTTGGGTTCAGTCAGAAACCCACCAAACTGAGGCCTGAGGCTTTTGCTGGGGTCTCTATATGTTGTTTGTCTTTTGCAGGAGTTTAAAGTATCACCTTTTCGATCTTCTGGTTGTTGTTTATTCTTTCTTGTGGCTGACCCACCCAAAAATGTTACTGTATCTTTAAACGTGTTCTTCAGGGGTTTGGGTCACAATTTCACCAAGAACATGGGGAGGGTTGCGATGAAAACGGCTCATCTTGACGACCAAAGTCTACCGTATGGATCCAAGGCACCATTGATTTGGACTGTCCGTTGCCGGGTCAAACGTGCTTTGCTAGTCTGTAAAGTTATTTTTGGAAAGACACGGAGTTTTCTTTCATATCTTCCTAAGATTTTGCCTTTTTTCATCCTTTTGACATAGGTTATTCATGATGATTCTAGGCTTATTCTAAGGTTCCCGGTCGCCAATCTCCATTTTTTCAGCTCCTGGATGATCCACGACTCCACGGCTCTCCAGGCTGGTTTGCTGACGATGCCATTTGGCAGTGCCAGCTTCTACGATCCGCGTTTCCAAATCACCCTAGGTGGGGCTCCTAGAGAGGTCGTGGTGGAGTAGGATCGAATCATCGCCACAGCCACAAACCAGCTAGGACTCTAGGATTGGGAATCCCTAGGCATGTGCAATTGGTTCGGACTGGAGTTCTGCAATACAAAAGTCCAATCCACACAGGGTTATTGATGTTATTGGGACTGGAATCTGTCAGAGGATTGGTTAATACTGCACGACTGCACGACTGTACAACCAATCCCTTCAGCAGTGCTAAAAAATCACAACAGCCTAGACATAACTTTCGCACGGAAAACCACATGCATAAGTCGTTTTTTGCAGGGTTTTTGAACGAGCTTAAGTTGTTATTGTTTCCATTTTTCCGAACATCTCCCAACTAGATCTAAACATGGCTGTGTCATGCGTGTCGGAAAATCTACAAAATTGTAATTGAGTATATTTTAACATATTATCACAGGGAACACGATTCACCAGCAGATGCAGATCCGTGTTTGGCCCCCCAGATGTGGTGCGCCGGTGCCCAGGCCCTGTGAAGGAACTGGATGGATCCTTGGAGGAGCAGGATGGATCCATGGGTTCCATACTGGGATATCAATGGGGATATCTATGGGGATATAATGATATAAATATTACGCGCAAACACCCCGATTCGCCCACACCCATTTCATGCTGCACACTTGGGGATAACAAACGTCACACTTTACATTCAATTGGGAAGATCAACAGGGGTATTTAGGGAATATGAATTTCCCACCCCCGTCCAACTTTACATTCATTGAAGATCTTCAATAACGGTTTAAATCTTCCACCCCCGTGGAAGTTTTTCATTCATTGAAGATCTTCAATAAGGGTTTAATTCTCCCACCGCCGTTGAACTTCTACATTCAATGAAGATCTTCAATAAGGGTTTAATTCTCCCACCCCCATTAAACTTCTACATTCATTGAAGATCTTCAATAAGGGTTTAATTCTCCCACCCCGGTTGAACTTCTACATTCAATGAAGATCTGGGTTTACTTCTCCCACCCCCGTTAAACTTCTACATTCAATGAATATTTTCAATAAGGGTTTAATTCTCCCACCCCCGTTAAACTTCTACATTCATTGAAGATCTTCAATAAGGGCTTAATTCTACCACCCCCGTTAAACTTCTACATTCATTGAAGATCTTCAATAAGGGCTTAATTCTACCACCCCCGTTAAACTTCTACATTCATTGAAGATCTTCAATAAGGGTTTGATGATGATGATGATGATGATGATGATGATGATGATGGTGTGTAAGAGACTCGCACAGGTCCCTAAGCTGTGCGTGCCGATATACAACATGAAGTTAGCCATGATGCAAAAAACTCCAATTTTTACCACGTTTTCGGCACATACGAAGATGGCCGCCGACAAGCGCGGGCAAATCGAGGTGTTTGCCCGAAATATTACAACAGTGGGGGGCTATCATGGATAATTATGGGATAACTATCACAAAGCACCCCGACACTTGGTTTATAATTGTGTATCCTCCCGACGAAGATTGAAACCCAAATTGCTGGTTGCTGACGACGACACATGTGAGAATCATACCATGAAGATAAACATATTCTATCCACCAATCATTCGAAGAGGTATCAGGTTTGTGAAGTGTGCACACTTTGTGTCACGCTGGTCCCCTCATGACAGATTTCAACGGCAGATTTCACTGGGCACCAGGAATAGATAGGAATAGGATCGGCAGAGCCTAGGACTGGCCCTGGGGCTTTGATCTTAAAATCTTGAGAGCGGTGAATGCCACAGTACAGTGTAGCTTTGACAAAGAACCAGAAGCAGATAAATAAATCAAACGTTCAAACTGTTGCCAAACATAATCACCTGGATTCTTAATTGCAGTTTTGACTTATTACATCTCGTGGTATAGCAGCGCCCATTGGGCCTTTCTATATTTTACAGTATATTAGATATATCTTGAGAAGATCCCAAACAACCAATATGTACGTTCGTTTTTTTTTTTCAAAATAAATATAATGCATATATACATATATATACCATTATATACCTATGCACGGTCGTCTTTTATGAGGCACATGCCTCATCTCACCCGGACGTCTTTGTCCAAACACATCGCACCTGTTCACTTGTAAACATATGTATGTATATATATATATACATATGCGCATATACATGCATATAAGTATACATGCATACATGCATATAAATATACATGCATACATGCATAACACATTTATGTGTGTATAGTAATATATGTACAAATCTATATATGATTCAACACACTATTTGTTTCATCATGGTTGGGACATGCCGTGTGCCGGCATTATTAAAAACATACCCAGCATCTGGGGATTCTTGCCTGCAACAACTCTTCCAACATCATTTTGAGTTCAAACGAAGAATAAAGATAGCAAGAACAACCATCATGAGAACGCTGGAAAAAACAATAATCACAATGATAACATATGATAACCATAATAACCAGAACAATGATAATAATGATCCCGCTGTAACATATCATGTAGAGCCTAAATCATCGACTTTGGCGCAGCCTCATAGATCTCTCCCCGACCCAGGAAAGCAACTCATCTTTGGCCAGCTTCTGGGCACGCCAGGCGAGAGATAGGTAAGAGATAGGTAAGTTGGTTGGTTTATGAATCATGATTGGGAAAATTTACCCTCTGGTAAATAAACAGTTGGACCCTGAAAATAGCCAATTTTTAATGGAAACTAGTCTTCCAACCCCGATGACTGCCAGGGTCTATGTTAATTTACCAGAGGGTACATAGGAACTATATGGAACTATGACATATAGGTAAGCTAGATGGTGTATTTCATAGGTGTATATTTTCATCTCTGAGAATTATACATATTTCTGGTGGTCCAGCGATGCAAAAACCATAGCTGGGCTCAGCTTTGGGGATGCATCCCAATTGACACGGTGGGATGCACGGTGGGATTGCATCAAACCTCAGGTATCGAACAGGAGAAACCCAAAAGACCTTGATTTGACCATGGTTTTATAGCAATGATGGTCAATATTTTAGAGCAATATTTCATATCAATACAGGACCCCCTTTCCTGGGTATCGCAGTCCTGTATCCAATATTTTAGAGCAATACTCAGGATGTGTCTCAACTGGACCGTGAAGGGAATCGATTCCAACCAAGGAACCATGTCCTTCTGAAGATGGGACTCCCCTCCAAAATCTCCAAACCCAACTTGGAACCGACAAAAAAGTGGGTCGAACTGTTTTTGAGCCAAAAATCATCACAATGACGTCTGCAGATCGAAACATCAATCGAGGTGAAGAATCTTGAGTATATCGGCTGGGAACCAATGTCGAGAGTTTAGCCAATTATGTTAGACATATCATTAAGTTGCCAAAATGCAGTGGACCCCCATTCCCGGTGTAGGTGGCCTGCGTGGCCGCTACTGTAGGAGACGACGAATCCGTGGATGTCACTGTATATGAAAGGGTCATTGTTGGACGTACCGAGAACACATTTCTCTTGAATTTGATTTGAATTTCAGATTCAAGCAACATATATCCAACGCATATCCAACAATATGGGTGTAGCCAGGAAAACTGAGCATGGCATACTATCAGTGTCTTGCCAGTGGACACCCGTGGTCGAATGATGTCCTGTAGAAGGATGGGCCCAGCTTATCTCAGGTCTATGGTCTAAATACCAATATGATGCAGCTTCTGTAAGCCACATTTTCAACCTCCTAGCTTCATGGGTAGGGATTATAATATCGTAAATATAATATATACACGTATATATGTTCAGTTGTGCTGGTGGCCACGGTAGCGTAGTTCAACTCACAGGTCGCATGCAGGTTGGACTGAATGAAGTGAGGGCTTATTCCGCTGTGCCCCAAAATAAGGATGGGTTGACGGCAAGTTGATGGCGGCAAAAAATGAAGTGGATTGAACGTCCCAACAGAGCTATTCTGTTCATCTTTGGGTTGTTTACCTCAAGATGATATGGTAATTCTTGGCAGGACATTTTCACAACGGAAAAACCAACAATTATTCCAAAACAAGATCCTCAAGACAGAATGCCGTACGCCATACGCATAGGTACCGCATGCTGTGCAACCGAAGGATTGATGGCAGAACTAGCAAGGAGAGGCGCTGACGAGGTTGCAGTGGATAAAGTCATGATGGAACCGTGGAAGAGCAGCGGTCATGCCAAGCGGCCCAGCCCAGCTTGAAACCGCAGCCCTACAAGCTACCAGTTCTAGCTGTTCAGCACTGTAGTCGGGCTGATGGAGGCAGCTGCATTATGTTGCATCCGGAACTGCTGGGTCCCTGATGGCTGGTTGCAGAGTGATAGCCCGGAGCACCACTTGGATATATATTTGGGATTGGGCATCCAACAGATTCTTTTTGTTAACCCACCTTGTGGGATCGTAAACGCCAAGAACTTGGATGTACTTTCAAGCTGTCCTTCCGTTACCGTGACCAAATCTTCCCAGTAGAAAGCGGCTTGGTACTCCAGAAGGATGGATAAAGTTAGGTTCTTGGTAGAAGCAAGGGCTTTCCATTGGGCCCCCAAATGAAATTGGCAGGATCGAACGAAATCGGAATAGCATGGATTCATTAAGCCCTGCAACATTGAATATGCAAAACATGCCGCCCTCCAAATTGCAGTAAGCAACGCTCTCGGTTTTTTGAATGCATGCAGCTCGATAGGAAAACCGCTGTTTGCCAGTTGCTTGGATGTGTCTTCACTACAGTTTGGCGGTTGTTTTTGACATTGTGGGCGTCGATGTGCGGCGTTTCCTTTCTGTTTTTGTTCTTTTTTTGATAACTAGTTGATTAGTTGGAAGTTCCTGCGCAGTTCAGCCGTGATGTTTTTCCTTTTCGCAAAGCAGGAGAAAATAGACAACCAAAAACAAAAACGCTTTTTTTTGGGTACCTTGTACCACATGCTTTTGACCCGTGGCGTGCCTGCGCGAGGCTGCAGCTTGCATCCGTTGCATTGGGTGGAGGTGATGGGGACACCCAACGGCACGCCACGTGCCCTGACTGCAATGGATACCCATGGACCTTCCTCTTTTGAGGGATGAATTATTGTCCATTGGGAGTTTCCACAAATGAGGGTGCCCCAAAATGGATGGTTTTTATATAATGGACAATCGTATTTAAATGGATGATTTGGGGGTGATTACCCCCATTTAATTGCAGGACCCCTCCAATTAAAGCCTCCCGAGTTGCTTTTTTGAAACAATCCGCCAACTCGCTTTTGGAATGGACACACATCAAAAACCATTCGTAGGGATGCTCCATGTTCAGAATCAGAAAGATCCAAGGTGAGGAGATTGTGATCAAGGCATGTGGGGAATGTAGTGCCGAGGAGTGCCAGGCAGGGCAGGGGTGGAGCGGATGTTCCGTGCGGCAAAGATTGAACTGAGGATAAGTATGGGTCAAAGGTCAAAACTATTAATGCCTCCCAGCCCATAGAATTTGATCATGTCATTTGCTTCTTTGCCCAATGGAAACTGGTACCCAAAATAACTGAATCGAACTCGAATTGGCAAGGCGATGGGTTTATATATAACGGGCCAGAAGAACAAGGCTGACGGGACTAGTCGTGCAAGTAGCTGTTGCATTTCACTGCCTCATTCTACAGGTGCATGTACATAGAAGTACCTTTCAATCCTCTTCATACTGAGTTCCTTTTGCGCTTCAAAAGCCAACCTCCATCGGATAGACAAATTCGCATCAATCTGGTCAGTTCTTTCAGCCATGAGAGATTGAGCAACAAGACATTTGTTTAGCCACAATGCCGCATTGTACACATGGATTTCAAGACGTTATTGCATGATATTATATACAGTGCATATATATATATATACACATGACAAATTTTATCGAAGGAAGTTTCAAAGTCAAACTTCCGACAATATGAACAGATGAAAAGCAGAGATGGGAAGAATCAGAGAAGAGAAGAGAAGAGAAGAAGAAAGACGATCAAAAAAGAGAAAGTTTCAGAAGAAAGAAGATCCAGGTGCGCGAAAAGGTAGGAAGGTCGTGAAACGGTGTTTTCCAAATGATTTGTGGAACCGGAGGATCGAAAAGTAGGCTCGCTAAAGCGTCGGGTGCGGAGCCAGCTGGCCAGCTGACAGATGAAAAAGTGCACGCCGTTGTGGCGCAAAGCACATGTCCAAGTCAAAATATACATAACATACCATGTTCGGACACTTGGAAGTTGTGATGTCGAAAAAGTGCACGCTGTTGTGGCGCGAAGCACATGTCGAAGTCAAAGGTGTAAAAAACTGACGGGTTCGGCGCACTTTTGGACGTTCAGATGTCGTTTCGCGCGGCGGGCGCGCTGGATTGTGCACCTTGTCAAAAGTGTGCAGAACGTGAGGGTTTTGTAGCAGGTTTCAAAAACGATGGCAGACGTGGGACATTTGAAGAGGATCTGCAAAGATGCATTTTCCGTGGCAGGCGCAGTGCAAGAGACATGATGTTAGGAGGTCCGGGCGCTGATTTCCTGAGAGGGGTTGCATTTTGGAGCATCAGATCTTCAGTTTTGGGAAGATGATTTTGCGTGACAGGCACAGCACTTCATCTGACCTGGCATCACTTTTTCGTGGCAGGCACAGTACTTTAGACAGGTGGAGTGGAAAAAACGCAAAACGCATTGGTACGAGGTCGTCAGCTCTGCGCTCAACTTTCCATTTTTGAACGAAGTCTCGCAGAATTGTTTCGCTTTTGATGTTGTCAATTTGAAAAATTGAAGAAGTCTCGCAGAAGTGCTTCGTGTGTGATGTTGTCAACTTTGAAAAATGAGGACGTCTCGCAGAATTGCTTCATTTTTGATGTTGTCAAGTCCAAAAATTGAGGAAGTCTCGCAGAATTGCTTCGTTTTGGATGTTGGCAAGTTCAAAAATTGAGGAAGTCTCGCAGAATTGCTGCGTTTACAAGCTTACGGTTAGGCAGTTAGACAGACAGACAGACAGGCAGACAGGCAGACAGTCAGACAAACAGATAGATAGATAGATAACTAGATAGATAGACAGATAGGTAGATAGACAATTACAACTACCAGTACGCTACACTACACTACTGCTACAACTACAGATACAAATATACTACGCTACATTACACTACACTTATTACACTACACTTATTACACTACACTTATTACACTACACTTTTTACACTACACTACACTAATTACATCTAATTACACTACACTACACTACACTACACTACACTACACTACACTACACTACACTACACTACACTACACTACACTACACTACACTACACTACACTACACCAATTACACTAACAACTGCAACATCAACTACTACCACAACTACAACTGCAATTACAACTACACTACACTACACTAATTACACTGCACTACATTACAACTACATTTACACTACCTTACACTAGACTACACTACACTATACCACACTACACTACACAACACTATACGACATTACACTGCACTACACTCCACTAATTACACCACACCACACCACAACTACAACTGCAACTGCGCTTGCAGCTACAGTAATTACACTACATTACAACTACAGCTCCGCTACACTACACTACAACTACAACTACAACTGCAACTACAACTGCAACTGCACTACACCACACTACATCCAGCAGTTGTGGTAAGGTGACCACTGCAACCATTGCAACCACTCCAACAAACACAACTCCAACCACCTGTTGGTCCATCAGTGGATTCGCTCTGCCATCCGTGACTCACGACAACCAACCTCTCCTGTAGGTTTCCCATTTTTGAAACTTCCGCCACCGCCTTGTGCGGCACTACTGGCATTTTGTATTTTATCTTCTAGATTATTTATTCACTTTCACAATCATTCAGTATCATATATATATATACAGTATACACATATTCTGTATATATGATTGATGCAATGAGTTTGTCTGGAATCTGCAAGTTTCATGTGAACAGTAAAACCTCATTAACTTTTACTCGCACAAATCCCGAATTTTCCACTAGCAATCTATAGCAGCTATAGCAGATTCAGCCAGCACCTGGAAACATGAATAATCAGCTGCCAATGAGTTGACACAGCATACTGTACAGTAAGATGTCTGTTGAACACAAAGTACATTCACGAAATATCAGGAAAATATAAATATGCATATATGTATATACATTTGTATGCGAGATAGCTATAGAATGATTACATAGATTGATGATGATAGATGATTATATACGCATACAAGTAGAGCCCATGCGAGGCGGGTGGCGGAAGTTTCCAGGGTTAAGGACTGTTACACTATAGGATCCAAAAACAAGGTTTGCCTATAGGAGAGGCAGCGAAACCTCACACCTTCTCAACTCTTTTCACGACTTCTCACTTCTTGTCAGCTCTTCTCAACTCTCTGCACCTCTTCCTGACTCTCCTCAACTCTCTTTTCATCTCTCTTCCCTCTTCTCAACTCTTCTCAGCTCGCCTTGCCTCATCTCACCTCTGTTCCACTCGTCCAATTTTTTCTCAGCCCGGTTGAAGTGTCGCAAACCAAACTTTTACGCAGAGAAGCTTTTACACAAAGCAAACTTTGACACAGAGGAACTTGTACAGAGAGAATCTGTTTTGCATAGAGAATCTGTTACGCAGAGAAAGCTTTACACAGAGGAACTTTTACACAGAGAAAGCTTTAGACAGAGCAAGGTTTTACACAGAAACTTTTACGCAGAGCAGCTTTTACACAGAAACTTTGACACAGAGCAAACTTTTACACACAGAAGCTTTTGCATGGAGAAACTTTTACACACATAACCTTTTACACAGAGAAACTTTTACACAAAGGAGCTTTTACAGTTACACAGACGCAGAAAAGTTTGTACACAGAAAAACTTTTACACGGAGAATCTGCTACACAACGAAATCTTTCACACAGAGCCAGCTTTTACACAAAAAAAAATTACACACAGAAGCTCTTACACAGAGAAACTGTTACACAGAGCAAACTTTACACAAAGCAAGGTTTTACACAGAGAAACTTTCACACAAAGACAGCTTTTCCACCTCGACGCCAAAGCGGAAAAACGACGATTTTGAAGCACTTTCTAAAAGAAATTTCAAAGCAAAATCATCAGCGCCAAAGTGAAGAAGAATCTGCTGCCAAAGCACCATTCGCAACCTTTATGCAGCCACTACAATACGCTTTATACGCCTTCCAGCTACAAAAGACACTGGCATATTACGCACGCAGCCGCAGCAGAGAGGAACCTTAGCACATCCATTCCCCTGCGATCTGAAGACACTCGGTTGCAAGACGCAACAGAATTATGCACAACAGCTACACAAATTGCAGCTCCAAAACCGCATCTCGACGCCAAAGCGGACAGCAAAATCATCAGCGCCAAAGTGTGAAGAAAAAATATGCTGCCAAAGCACCATTCGCAACTTTCATGTAGCCACTACTTTACGATTTACGACATCCAGCTGGAAAAAACACTAGTATATCGCGCACGCAGCTGAAGCAGCGAGGAACCTTAACACATCCATTCCACTGCGATCTGCGGACACTAGGTTGCAAAGCAGGAAAGCAGAGCATCAACAAAGAAAAAGAAAAGTCACCTGGGACCCTCAGTTACACTGCGCCCGCAAATCGAACAGGAATCGACGGCAAAGATTCAAATGGCACCCTCGATGTAGCAGTTCCAATGCGATCTGCCAGAACTGACTTACAATCGCAACACATTACTCAAGAACCAGAACCTTTCGAGAGACCTTAACGCAGCCATTCCACTGCGATCTGCACGGACCGACGTGCAAAACACAATACAGCGTCAACAAAGAAGAAAAAGTCACCAGCAGGAATCGACGGCAAAGCGGCGACCCGAAACCGTCGCGCAAGCGAGCCAACTTTTCTCCGCAACGGAACCTTCGTTTACCCGAAAAAAACACAATGTTTCGTCTGTTTCGTGCAAATCCTAACATAGTGAGTGAAACCAACGGTTTTGAAAACGAAACGGGGAGTATTGGGCTCCGACCGGCAATTTTTTTGGGTCCAAACGACATTATTTTACCGTCCATGATTTTAAGCATTCTTTCCTGGTTTGACAGTGTTTTTTGCAAGCCTCAAATGACAACAGAAGCACACATGATGCTTGTCTATTCAGTCACCTTGCATGTGAAAAGACAAACAAATATTTGGCCGCTAGCCAAAGAGAGACCAAATGAGAAACATGTATTTGCAATGGGGTTTGTACGATCCTACTTCAATGCGCTGGCATTCGTCCGCGGTTCGCTGATTTTTTCCAAGGCACATCGATAGATTGCATTTCTTGACGCGATTTAGGGAGAAGGGCCCAATCGGGAATTTTTGCCTGAATCGTCAATTTTTCTGCAAATCGTCAAATATGTTTGCAGTTTGGCAAAAACTTGCAAAGTTTGCCTTTTGAATATTGCAGGTATATACATATGTGTATGTGTATAAGAGAGAGAGATAGATATATATGTATGTATGATATTTGTCCACATATAAATATACACATACATGTATTTTTATTGTACATGTAAATAAACATATATATATAATATAATATAATATAATATAATATAATATGATATAATATGATATAATATAATATATGCTAATATAATTTAATATATTATATATTTAATGAAATGTATGATAATATAATACAACATATGAAAATAATATACTAGAATAAAAAATAATATAACGTAATATAGTATAATATATTTTTTTTATATATATATTATATATTATATTATATTATTTTGTATTATATTATATTAGGTTATATTATATTAAATTATATTATTATATATTTTACTATATTATATTATATTATATTAAATTATTATACTATATTATATTTTATTTTATTTTATTGTACTATACTATATTATATTATATTATATTTTATTATACTACATTATATTATATTATATTATATCATATTATATTATATTATATATATATTAATTTGATATAATAAAATATAATTTAATATAATATAATATATTATTTATAATACATCATATATAATTTGAAATATAAAATATTTAATATATAATATATAATATATAATATAGAACATTTGATATAAAATATTAAATATTTAATATTTAATTTATAATTTATAATATATAATATATTACATATAATGTAATAGTATATAATGGAATATATTAGAATATAATATATAGTAATAATATATATATATATATATGTTAATATATTATACGCATGTATATGTATTTTCTACTTAACAACTCTGGTTCCCAAAGCCAAGCGTTGGTCTTTCCTTCCCTTCAGGTTCTCCTGGGTGCCATGGTCATGGCGGCCCAAATGGATCGGACGCCGGAGAGTCAAGTGGATCGATTCGGGCGCACAGGCCTTCCGACACGTTCGACGGATGGAGACCCCCAGAATCCCATGGGTTTTCCCATGCATTTTCCTTCTTAAATGGCTCTAAATGGGCTGCACCCAGATGGGTTCGAACGTGGTTATAGTGGGTTATAATTTGAAAGTAGCGAGGTAGTATAAACACTCATCATTACTTTTTGGGCCAAACTGACCCAAAACTGTGGCTAAAAGGACGGTGAAACCACCGGCAGAAGGGCTGGCGCAACTCAAGAAACCCGATTTCTTTGGTTTTGTGGCCGGCAAACTTAGCGGCAGAACCTGTGGTTAACTCTGTGGGAACGAAAAGCCACGGCATTTGTGCCGGCAAGTCGTATGGCAGACCATCCGAACCATTGATGGACAAACAAAATTAGGGGCAAATGTGCCGGCAAGAGGCCCGGCAAAGCGCGCGAACTAGCTCTGGCCAAGCCAAATTTACGATCATTTTCAATGGCAAATGTGTTCAACGCAAAAGTCAATGAAATTTGGTACATGTTGGCACGTTTCAATGTGGAAAAGCTGAACAATGAAAATCGAAAATCAATATTATCAATATTGCATGCCCCTCTTCATGGGGTCACAGCAAACAAGATCTGCTACTCCACCAGGAAAGCCATCTTATTGGTGATTTTTCCATAAGCCGACTTGGACAATGTCCGGGCACTTGCAAAAAACGCTTCTTTGATTGCTGCAACCTTGACAGACGCCTGGCAATCCTAGCAATGAATTGAAGGGGGAGTCGGTAGCAGGAACCTTGTTGGCGGAAACGGCAGAACCCGGCACAAGCCGGCGGAACTGACGTGGCGAAAGCCTGGAACCCAGCGGAACCTAGCAGAACCCAGCGGAGCGGCGGAATCCAGCGGAACCCGGCGGAACCCGGCAAAACCCGGCGGAACCCGGCGGAACCCGGCGGAACCCGGCGGAACCCGGCGGAACCCGGCGGAAACCTGGCGGAAACCTGGCGGAAAAACAGTAAGTTGAAGGGGGGGGTGGTTGGGAGTATAAGACATGCCAAAAGTTATACTCCCAACCACCCCCCCCTTTAACTTACTTTTTTTCCGCCGGGTTCCGCCAGGTTTCCGCCAGGTTTTCGCCAGGTTCCGCCAAGTTCCGCCGGGTTCCGCCCGGCTTCGCCGGGTTTTGGTAGGTTCCGGGCGGCGGGTTTCCGCCAGCCTCGGGCTTCTGCAAGGTTCGCGCGAAGCCGTCAGGTTTGCATCAAGTTACAAGTTCTTTTTCCCAAGTTTCTGCCAAGCCCCCGCCGTCTCCAACGCAAGACCTGTCACAACTAGTCATAATTTAAGTGTTCTTTTTCCAAAACAGTTTTCAGCTGAATTGTCAGCACTGCTTGCCTGAGGGGCGGCGGCTGCTTGAGCAGCTTTGCTGTGAACTCAAGGCCCACGCAACCAACTTGTCCAGTCCAATGCGCGGCGCTGGACGCTGGAGACCTTTAACCGTCAGCTTGGCAGGCGCTAAAAGCGATAATGAAAACCCGGTATGCACCTGGTGTCCGGCAGTGAACTATTGAAGTAATGCCAGGCGCATCCCAACTTGGAAGCAAATAATGATTTTAAATAATATATAATTAAATATATATAACTAATTTATGTTGGGGCCAGGTTGTGCCTTTTGAGGCAACATTTCTACTCGGTTTGCTGCTCTTTTTTGCCTCGAATTTTTGCTAACTTGACCGGCATGTTGCCGCCTAGTTTGCCGGGGGTTCGGCCGGCTGCTTGGCCAGGGCCGAAACCACGATTTTCATCTTGTTTCTGGGGAGTGTTTATACTCCCAGGCTTACTCCAAGTTATAATGGTTATATGGGTTATGATGGGCTGTTATAATGGGTTATATTAGTGGGTTAAGATGACAATAGTATAGCATAGAATGGGTTACAATCTGGTAAACCCACTAATCACCATTTGGGGACTATTTTCTCACCCCATTTATCTAAACATTGTACTATTGGGATGTTTACTTATTGGGTTTATATACCACATTGATCCACTTACAATACTTAGAAGTTTGAGGTTTTGATGTTTGAATACTACTGGATACATTTGAAGACATGTTGTTTGGAGCATTGGTCCAAATGTATATGTGCCATGGTCAAAATTTGAGCAAATTTCTCCTATTGGGTGATGGTCATCAATCCATCGGGGATTCCCATTATGGGATGACCAGACCACACTCCCACGTTCGAGTCGCCTCTCATCGCCAGGTCACACACATGGTGAACTTGAAGATGTTGGGGCGCCCCAGCGAAAGCTTGCTGGAAAATCAACAGTTTCAGATAGTTTTTGAATGTTTGATCCAGAGAGTGTACCCTGTACTGCAAGCATTTTCAAACACAAAAACACTAAAAACCATTGAATATAAATGAATGAAAGCAAGAAACTGCTGGATGTAGAGGCAGAACAAGATCGGGATGCAAATTGAATGTGCGTTGGCACAACTTTGCGGGGATGCACTATATGTGGATAGACCCCACTGAAAATAATTGTAGTACCGATCCAGTCTTTCAGACATTGCTCAAACAACGAATATCAATCTTGAGCCTTGCATCCACTGAGATTTTGTCATGCAAAAAGTCCATTGGGCACCTCAACAAAAAGTTGACCAGCCTTTCTTACGGTAAAGTACTGGCAACGTGTAGATCATTCCCAAGAGAAACAACCATGGAAATCTATCGTTTTGTGTATAAAAATGTTTACTGCGGGGTAAAGTAGATATCCCAGTATATAATATCATATCCCCATTCTACGGTGATTTGGCATGCTTAAATCACTTAAATTCACCATTTTTGCCGGTTCACCCATGGATCCCCGTTGAAACTCCCCATTTCCCCAGACCTGGTCCAGCTCGCTCAACGCAGGCTGTAACGCACGAGAATCTGACGCACGTCTTGGAGCTGACCGAATTTTGGGCAGCAGCCGCGGAGGGAGCTGTGAGAGAAGCAGGATATGGAGGTGAAACAATGGGGGTACCCCAATAGCTGGATGGTTTACCCTCTGGTAAATTAACATAGCTATGGAAACTCATCATTTTTAATAGGTAAATCAACTATAAATGGGCCATTTCAATAGCTATGTTAGTTTACCGGAGGGTAGTTCATGAACTATACTAAAATGGCTGATGCAAGGGGGTAGCCCTATTTTAGGAAACCATGTGGCTATGAGATGCTGTGAGTATGAGTCGAAGGCACCCGGAGCCGTAGAAATGTTACGAAAATTGCTGGTGAATGGATTTTGATTCCCCCCAAATATATCCAAATATGGCAAGAATAGGTTTTGAACATCGGAGCCAATGAGCTACGAATGGACTTTCCCAACCACATGATAGGTCAAAAATTTCCCCATGGCAAATTTATGGACACTTACTTGGTGAATATTGGGGATTGGGATCATGTGACTTATCCTTTTTTCCCAAAGTATTTTGCATTGACATGGAGATTTAAACTATCACTATGCAGGGTTGGCAAATTAAATTGGTAGTGCCAAGTTTGCCTTTAACTTGTAGTCTACCTGATTGTCAAGACTGGCGTGCCTCCACCGCCAAGGCATTCCTCCACCGCTAGGGTCATATCTACCCAAGATAATGGACGTCTGTTGGGATCTCGAAGCAAGGTGATACCAGCATGCTGCATTTGATGCCACGACATTTAATTTGGGTTCGGCTTACCACCAGAAATCCAACGTGAACCCCACGACGAATGGGTGCTTGCATGATGTTTTTTATATTTGATTCCCCCCGATTTTTGTTTCCAGGATACCTCAACAATTTGACCGATAAATCACAGTATTACAGCTAGTTTATCAGATCTGAGAGTTGGTTAGTGCCAACACTTGACCCACAAACTCTTCCGTGTTGGATTTTGTTCCCCACCTGCCAGGTGAGGGTTGTTAGATTTTATCAGAGCTGTTCTCCTCCTCCTCCGCCTCCGCATCCTCCTCCTCCTCGTCCTCCTCCTCCTCCTCGCAGTCCAGATCCCATTGGGCACAGCCGGACTTCCACCGCGAGCGCCAGATCCCAGTGGGCACTGCCGGACCTCAACCGCGACTTCCAGATCGCAGTGGGCACTGCCGGACCTCAACCGCGACTTCCAGATCTCAGTGTGCACTGCCGGACCTCGACGGCCAGATAGAATGCCAGAAGATATGCCAGATAGGATGTGCAAGAGGATATGTCAGATAAAATGCCAGAAGATATGCCAGATAGAATGCCAGAAGATTTGCCAGATAGAATGCCAGAAGATATGCCAGAAGATATGCCAGATAGAATGCCAGATAGAATGCCAGAAGATATGTCAGATAGAATGCCAGAAGATATGCCAGATAGAATGCCAGAAGATTTGCCAGATAGAATGCCAGATAGAATGCCAGAGATATGTCAGAATATATGCCAGAACATATGCCAGAAGATATGCCAGATAGAATGCCAGATAGAATGCCAGAAGATATGTCAGAATATATGCCAGAAGATATGCCAGATAGAATGCCAGATAGAATGCCAGAAGATATGTCAGATAGAATGCCAGAAGATATGTCAGATAGAATGCCAGAAGATTTGCCAGTAAGAAAATGTATAAATGCCATGGTGGGGATCATTCGAAGTGAAGTAATTCCCCACCTGCCAGGTGAGGGTTGTTAGATTTTATGTCAGTTGCCTGCTCCTCTCCTCTCCTCCTCATCTCCTCCTCCTCTCCTCCTCCTCCTGCTCCCTGCCGGACCTCAACCACGACCAGCCACGCCCAGTGTGCCCTGCTGGACCTCAACCACGACCATCACCGCCCAGTGTTCCCTGCCGGACCTCAACCGCGAGTATCCACGCCCAGTGTTCCCTGCCGGACCTCAACCACGACCATCCCCGCCCAGTGTTCCCTGCCGGACCTCAACCACGACCATCCACGCCCAGTGTTCCCTGCCGGACCTAAACCGCGAGTATCCACACCAAGTGTTCCCTGCCGGACCTCATGTAGGAAGATAAAATGTCAGATAGAGTGCCAGAAGATTTGCCAGGTAGAATGCCAGAAAATATGCCAGAAGATATGCCAGATAGATATGCCAGAAAATATTCCAGAAGATATGCCAGATAGAATGCCAGATAGAATGCCAGATAAAATGCCAGAAGATATCTCAGAATATATGCCAGAAGATATGCCAGATAGAATGCCAGATAGAATGCCATAAGATATGTCAGATAGAATGCCAGAAGATATGCCAGATAGAATGCCAGAAGATTTGCCAGATAGAATGCCAGAAGATATGCCAGATAGAATGCCAAATAAAATGTCAGAAGATATGTCAGATAGAATGCCAGAAGATGTGCCAGTAAGAACATGTATAAATGTCATGGTGGGGATCACACGAAGTAAAGTATTTTTTTATTTTTTCAGAAGTAGATGATGAGAAACTTTACAGGACCGCCCCATTATATATATATACTGTATATATGTATATTAGTAATGTAGTATCTCATATTGATTCAGGGTAGAAACTGCTGATTTTACTATGGGTTTCCTGCTGATTTTCCCAACATTTTCGCAAACCCAAAGCCGATCCCAACGGGTCTCAGGAAGACTTGCTGGGCCACCTGGAATGGGCCTGCAAGAAGAACATGGGCAGCGAGCGCGACCGTCCGGTACCCTGTGGATGGTTGAAGTAGTGCCCCCCTTGAACAAGTTGTTAAGCCATATGATACATATGGAGGTTTCCGACAATAGGCGTACCCCTAAATCATCCAGTTTTATAGGATTTTCCACTGTAAACCATCCATTTTGGGGTACCCCCATTTATGGAAACCACCATCTACAGTATACATTATATATAAGTATACTACATTAGTATTTGTGCAGATTATTCGAGGGACCCCCTTAGTAATGTATCTGATGGGGGGTGGGAAATGTACAATATACATATGTGACTATACATATCAAATATCGAATATATTTGACATAGACATCTTCTAAATTTTAGATATGAGGCCCAAAGAGGCCCTCGATAAATTAATGATAAAAAGAACCCCCTGAGATGGGTCCATTTCAACCCCCCTCGCCACCATGGGGCCGTTGCTGTGAGCAATCATATGCGCCATGGTCAAGTTAGTTGGAATAGATTGACCCATAAACATTGGAGGATGGCCATCAATCCATTATATATATACATACACATATATACATATATATATATATACATATATATATACATACATATACATGTACACATATATATATATGTATATGCATATATATATACACACCAGCTACTTTGGATTCCTGTGGCATGGGATGGATGACTATACCATATTGATCCCAGATAACTTGACCATGTAATTTTCTCGCTGATTTCTTACCGGCATAGTACTGCTGCATGGCTTCCATTCTTCTTACATAGTTTGACCCATTTTCAGGGGCTTCGAACTACCAACCAGACAGTGAATTATAGTAAATTGGTGGTTGATTCATGTTGAAACAGATGCCTTATACAAGAGTTTATGGGATCATTGGCAGGAACAACCTGCAAAACTCAAAACTTCCTGACATTTTTCCCTGTAAGATCTACCCATTGAGTCCACCCAAAATCACCTCCATCCTCCCAAACTCAGGCAGGGCGGGGCTGTTCGAGGCACAACTGAAGTTCGAACCCCTGGTGTTGCGTATTTCAGATGTCAATCATGGTGGCTTTAGGTGACAAACAATAGGGATTCAACCATCCTAAATTCAATGGTGGATTTAACTCTCAAAAATGATTTCCGGTATCACCAGGCAGATATTTGCTATGGGCTGATCATCCCGAAGGTGAAAAGACACACCAATGCGATTTTTTGATCCATTCAAGTCAGAGGTGTTAAAATTTTTTCACCCATATGCCAAGAGTGATAAAAAATCAGAGTTTACTGAAGTTTACTGTTTAACATGATTGAACACTTGCTTTGATGTGGATTCGACCATCCAAAAAGGAGTGACATTCCGTGCAAGCAAGACAGAGACAATGGGAAAGTATGGGGATGCAGCAAGAAATCATGGACATGACAAGGCCGTACAGGATGTTTAAGATGTTGCGAGGTTTCCCACACATTTCACCATTTGGATCCATTTGGAGTCATCAAGTACCACCCGGTCAACAAACCTGGCAACTGAAAATACATAGTCATCTATAAATTATAGACCATTTTCAAAATTTCCAGCCAGCCATGTTTGATTACCGGGGGTATCAAGTCTTTGACTTCGACTTTGTAGACACCTTGTAGATCGACGACCTTCATCACCGTTGTTTCTCTCGGCATGAGATTCTATGCCTCATGGTTGGTGACTTTCCACTGCCAGGTTTGTTGACTCTTTTTGTGATATATATATAATTATATAATTATAGAATTATATAATTATATAATTATAATTTTATATAATTATATATATACTAGTATATATATATTTGAGATAGGTATAGATATGCAATGCACCCTCCAATAAAGCAACATAGCCATGGAAATGCATGGGTTTCCTGTTCGGAAATGATCTGCAAGTGGTGGATTGTCCATATCCAATCCATATCTTATGTGTATGTTTACTAGAGGATATAAATATATTCTATATACTGTATATTATACATGCCAGCTACTGGCTGTAGTTCCCAACTCCCTCCCCCCAAAAAACAGCGGCAACCATGGTCGACGTCACTTCCATAGCTGGCCTTGCGTTGTTTGGGCCCAGGTCCCTGACGAAGGCACTGAAAAAGGTGGAGTTCAAAGCAGGTGTCCCACAAGGGGTTTGGGAGGATGAGTCAAGCCATTACACTCCTGAAATCCTGGAACATACCATGGAATTTCCCCACTGGTTGGTTGATTTAATAGAGTGGTCTCCCCAACAATCAAAATTGCAAGTAAGTTTACCGGAGGGTCTATTTTCAGATCGGTCTAAGCCATGACCCATGCCCACATTGACATGGTTTTTGGCTCAGTTCGTGTCACCATATCGTTGGTTATCATGATTGGCTTAATCCCTCTGTGAAATCACATGACATGATATCATGATTGCCGTGCTAGATTTTACATAGCATTTTTTAATGGGGTCCCCCATTCAACAATCTTTATTGTTAGTGATATATATATATATATCATTATTGTCCCATTATTGTCCCCAGAAAATCATTTCTCCCACATCTCCCCCCCAAAAAACACATCTCCCCACCTCATGACCAGGAGACATCAAGGGCTATGAAAACCGTTTGGCCTTGGATGCCAAGAGCCAACTTGGCCGGGCGAAAGATTTAGCGCCTCGGAGGAAAAGCCGTGGCGGAAACGGTGCGGGAGAGTGCAATGGAAAAAATCACATATTTTTTTTGTGGAACAAGTGTGATACAACTCGCAAACATGGGGGATTTGATGGGGATTTATCCGGTAAAAATAGGATGGCATCGTGATTTGTCAAATTTTGTGATGATCTGGCCGCACAATTGCATGTTTTAAAAGTAACCATGACAAATTGTGTGGATCCTCTGGTTTTGAGTCTTGGGAAGCAGAGATTTATGTACCCATACCCTTGCCTATTGGCTCCTGGATGCTGCCCAACCCGCCTTACAGGCCAAGTAGCAGGGCGTAGCAGCCGGAGCCCGCCCCCCCAAAAAAAGGATGTTGGTCATTTTTGATGCGTGTAAACATTTGGTTAGTTCCGAAATGTAGACCACATCATCCCAGTGAAAACAGATCTCGGTCATGTCTTTTGTAAACATGTCTTCAAAACCATCACATCGTGGGAGAACAGACATGTGATCGCTGAGGAAGAGTCTTTGGTGCGGGTATATTAGGTGCGGCCCGGCTGTAGCTGCTCGGCGGTGGTTGCTTGAGGATGGACGCCTCATAAAGGAATCTGGGTAAAATGTGGTAAAATCGCCAGGAGAGCCACGGAATGATGACTATATAGTAAGAGGGACATCCCAAACATTGTTCATTTCTAGTCGAGTTGGTTTTGGTCTTTTATACAATTGGCCCAGATAAAGTGGTGTTTCCCAATGGACCATGACCTGTTTCCTTGCTTTGGACATCAGCACTGTCAAAAACCCCAGCGAAGCTGATGGTAGCTTCAGCATCCTTTCCCTGCAGATGTTCCCTTGAAACATCTTGAAACATGGCGCGTTTGTTGCCTAATTCCCTCCCATGATATATGGGTATGTCTGAAAATGGGGTATACCCCCAATTATAGCCATTTAGTAGGGATAATGATCATTAACCATTGGGTTTAGGGGTACACTATTTTCAGACAAACCCATATGACATGAAAAAAACAAACAGAAAACTCCCCAGGCGTCTTGCCATGTCAGCGATTCCTCGGCCACAGGCGGCCGCATCGCCTGTGACGCTCCGCTAAAAATCTTGCAGCACCTCGCGTGAGCTGGGGGAAGATTCAGAAGATGCTCAATGCATTATCCAAACATCTGGAAAACATGGTGATTGATCCATGATCCATTAAAGATGGTGATTTAACCAGCAAAAATGATGCAACATGGTGATTTTACCAAGAAACATGCTGATTTAACCAACAGAAATGAGGTTCTAACCAACAGACATGGTGATTCAACCATCAAGAATTCCGTTTTAGCACCCAAAAATGGGACTTAAACATCAAAGCGATTTTGGGTGGTAAATCTAGGTCAATAATCCATTCCCCCTAAACCATCCTAAACCTATCTAAACCTAAATTGCCAGCCCCAGAAACCTTTTCTTAGCATGGGATCTATTCATTTCGAGGGCCAATCTCACATGTGCCACCGCTGCGTATTTGGAGGTTTCCTAAGTCATAGTGGTACCCCCTTGCATCATCCATTTTAATCGGATGTTCCATTATAATCCATTTTGGGGTAGCCCCATGACTATGAAAACCTATACTGTAGCTGGTTGTCGTGGAGCAGCCGTTTGAAAGAGCCAAACCTTTGGACGCGGCGGTCCTCGTCCTGCGGTCCCCTGCGGTTTTCGCATCTTCCCATGGCGGACAGCTGGAAATTTGAAACGCTGGATGTTCAGAGGGATGTTGCGACAGGTGGGCTCTGGCTACGCTATGCCGCAATGGGGATCCAGGATTTGGGGCTTTCCTGGTACCCCAATAGCTGGATAGTTTATTTCAAGAAACATCCTACTAAAATGGATGATGCAAGGGGGTACCCCTATTTTAGGAAAGCTCCATTTCAAAATGCGAAATCTACACTGGACTCCTGTAAGCATTTTGACAACTGCATTTTTTCGAGGTTGCTCGAAAATGCAGGGAATATCTTCAAAGAGTATGTTTTTATCCACAGATGTTTTTCAGCACACATTGAGGGTGATTTAATTCTTGAACTCCAAGTAACACAATTTGAAACAGATGAACAACTCCAACTTGAAGCCCCTATGTTCACTAGGGAATTGCACAGATCAGATCATCACGTTTCATGCCACACTTCGGAGCCTTCACATATGAACTGATTCAACCTTCACGACAAAGTTTCAGAGAGTTGATATGGGTTTACAATTCATGTATATATATATATATGCAGTTCTATCATCATATTCTATCAATTTGGCTCATTTTGTAGCTACAGAACAAGGTACTGCAAACAATATGATGTGAGTTCGGAACATCATAATATATACATAATATGTATATACATGTGGATGATGTAAATATAACATAATATAACTATATCGTGTTTCCATGGTGGTTTTTGGCGATCAATGGGGCTTCGTGGTGATCGCTGGGGTAACTTGTTTTTGATCTCTCTGATCCCGAATGAATTCATTCGGACGTCCTATGCCCTATGTGAATGTCTGTCAAGGACGTATGTTTATTGTATATATTATACAAATAATATAATCCCTTCCTCGGCAGGTAGTTTTTAGTATTAGGGGGGTATTTATTATTAGGGAACCAAATCGAAGTCATGTTAATTAATTAATTAAATTTCCTTATATAACGCAATTAAAATATTGCCAAAAATGGCAGTTCGAAGCTTACCCCTAATACTAAATTAAAACCCTTAATACTAAAAACTAGCCCCCCTAATACTAAACAATACCCCGGGATGAATTAGTTTTTAGTATTAGGGGGGAGAACCCACAAATGGTAGGTTGATTTTTGAATTGTTTTTTAAAGGGGATCAATTAAAAGTCAAATTGGCCAAACTGAAATTTTCGGAAATTGGAGATGGATGCCTGTTTTTAGTATTAGGGGGACGTTTAGTATTAGGAGGAAGGGATTATATATATATATAGTATATTATATATGCAATATATATATATATACATACACAGACATGCACGCATATATTATAATTAGGGTTGACCCCTTAGGCCGTGTAAACTCAGTGCGAGGTGTGATGGAAGTGGCCTTGAACCGACCAAAAGAGCTGAATGCGTCGGGCGAACTCAGCTGACCAGTCGCACCAGTCGGAACCAGTCGCCCAGTCGGAAGTGTGGTGTTTAGCAACTTGGAGAAGCATGATCGATTTATATATATATATACATGTAGCCTACAGCTATTATATACAGCAATACTAATACTGATATGTCATATTATATCATGTCTCATAAAATCTCAAACAGCAGATACGATTACATATATAGACACCTGCTATCTCTGTGACATTCACATACTGTATATACGGCTGCTTGAGCTAATCCAGACGGCCACCTGAGGTTTAACCCGGCCATGTGGATTGATCTGCGCAAGTGCTTTGACGCACCTGGGCGCAACCGCAATCGATAAACATCGATTGACATGGAGAGTTTCCGGATTGCTGGAGGGTACAATAACCAACGAACATCATCAAAGATTGAGGTTTTGAAACTACAAACAGGGGGATAGGAGCAACAAGCAAGGAGAATCTGAGCAATATGAATGGGGATAGCAGCAACCTCTATATGGATTGGGGAACAGAAACGATGGCATGCCGCCCTTTTTTTTCCGTACTGCTGATGGACAGTCAGTCCTGCAGACTGTATCTGGAATATATCTGGGTGTGTCTGAAAACATATATAAATTACTGGAATACCACCCAAAATGGCAATTTTAAAGAGGAAAACAGTGAACACAAACCCAAAATTTTGGCATGACCGATTTTCAGACAAACCCATGGGATCAATGGGATGTACCGAGATTGATCCCTTGCAGGATGGGAAGGGGAGCTGCCCCAACATCATTCAGCCAGGTCGAAATAATCATGACTAATGAGGATCATCTCAAGATAGCCCAAAGAAAGAATGAAAGGTAGAATCCTACTCAAAGAGTGGCAAATCACTTTTGGAATCTTTTCGAAATACAGAGGGGTAACTATAGTTCCACTTTAACTATTGTAATTGTAATTCACCTGATCCAGTGCTCGGGTCCGAGGCAGCCTCGAGCGATCCCGACACGCGATGTGCCGACTGGGTGCTGGGTTTGGGAAGAATGGGGATTTAAGCAAGAAGAATGGGATTCAATATGATTTAATCATTTAATTGGATATTTTAAGTGGGGACTGTAAATGATGTATGTTTCACCAACTTGATATGATTCTTGGGTGTGCCAAAAAATGGAGCATACCCCCCAAATGACACCTTTACGGAAGGAAGATGGTGCAATGTTCAGGCAAACCCAAACAGCTGGCACATGGATGTCCAGTCCGATAGGTATCGACCCGTTTCCAAATGGAGAGTTTGATGGTGAAATCTCCCATTTAGACTCGACGCCATGCAACCAGTTGGACCAAGCATTTGCACCATGTATTCTGGTGATGCAACAACAATCCCCCTCCGTTTTGTTGCCAAGGCATCCAAGGCTCGTGAACGCCCCATTGCTTCTCCCCAGGTATCGTGATCCATGGTGGGCCATGCCGGCTCTTTACAGCAGGATTGGATTTGAAAGCTGCATCTTGGCGGATTTGAGCGATCATGGTCAGGTGACCCTGGCTGTTTTGGCCATCGATGATGTACCGAAAACAATCGATTTAGGGGTTGAAACACCTTTAAGCATCGGGATGTACCAAGTTTTTTGATGAGAAATCCTCATCATTGTTCCATATGAATGGGTGATGAACATCCAAAAGCAGTAATTCGTTTTGATAAGTTTTGATGTGAAAACCGTCTTGTGCGAGTGGCATATTGTGGTTGGTGGGTCAATGTCACCAATGAACTTGGTATCTCACTTTGGTAATCCCTTCCCTTGTCATATTGACCCAGAAACCCAGGAACCTTGTTTTGGATCTATTTGTTTGAATCACAGGAACCCCTTACAGGGGTATTTTCCGTCGGGGGAGGGATTACCTTTGTATGTACATATATATATACATTTATATATATATACTGTGTATATATATATATATATTTGTATTCAGGTTTTATCAGTCCACTTACATCATATCATATATATATGCATTGATAGTACTAGTACGTAGGATACGTATGGATACGTAGGATATCAACCAATTTGGTTATATATATATATATATCGTTTATACACCTTATTTTTGGTGTTATATCCACCATCCTCCCTACTCAACATAGAAGCTGCCAAATAGATCCAAATAGGCCCTGAGTGGTGTCCTCCAACATGGCTGGGAATCCCGAGAATTTTCTCATCAATCACCATTGTTAACAATAACCAACCATTATTCATCATTAACCACATTCAACCACTAGTTGTGTGGATCAATATTTATTTTATGTTATTTTATATTATTTTCACGATCGTTAACAAAAAATAACAATACCAGTAGCCATTGAACAATCCCGTTAAATCAAATCAATGGTTATGAATGGTGAATTATGAATATCAATTGTTTCTATATCCTTTATAGTTGAAAACCATAATCAATGGACACAATGAATCATGCATTAGTGTCCATCAATGGTTTATAATAATCATAATACCCAATAATTAATCATGATTAACAGTACCATAATAATCCCAACAATAAACATCATTATTCACAAGCATTAATCATCAAAAACATGTCCATTTTGCCAAACGCTTCGAGGAGCTGATGGGCGGCGCCTTCAAACAGGAAGCCTCAGTGGATCTCAGCCGGAAAGCCATGCGCATGGAGCCAACGATCACGCGATGTCAGGCCGCGGCTGCGACTTTTTCAGGATCTGAAGTGGGGGATTACTGATTTAATGATTAAATGGTGATTTAATGGGATTACTTACTCAATCTAATGGGATTAATGGGGGATTACATGGGATTACTGATTTAATGATTACTTACTGGGATTCAATGGTGATTTAACCTGATCTTTTCTGGGATTTGATGGGATGTCATGGACTAATGACTATGGGGTCTATTTTTAATCGCCAGTAACCAATGGTAATAGGGAATTGATGGGATTCTTTGGTTGGATCTTTTTTTACCAACCAATCATCATATCAGGTTCAAAACCCCTGTTGCT